AGAGAGAGAGAGAGAGAGAGACCAGGGGCCATCGGTGAGGCGGCGTACCCGCGCGGGAGCTCCACGCCAGGTACTGGGAGCGGGCTCGCCTTTTCCTCGTAGTGACCCATCAAGGCTGGGCGGCGGCGGTACTAGTTTCGCAAGGGACAGACATGGAGCGACTCGGGACTCGTCTCAGTCCGGCCGCTACCCAGCCGCCCGCCGCGCCTGGCCGGGCTGCTGCTTCGCCGGCCGGGTGGCGCAGGCGGCCCTCCCGGCTCCCGCCCGTCTGGGATGCGCTCCCCAACCGCAGGGCGTCGGCGGCGCCCAAGAGGCACAAGAATAACGGCGGTGCTGCGGGCGGCTTGTGGGGTGACGGTGCCGCGCTCCTTCCCCGGCTCCTCGCCGTCCGTCCCCTCTCCCCGATGCCGTTTTCTTCCAGGGGAGGCGCCCCGGCCGCCGTGCCGGGGCGTAGCGCAGTCTGTGCTTTAAGTACAGCAAGATATTCACCCAGGCTAGATTAAGGTCACAACAACCTAGGATTAAGGGTGGCTACAGACTTTAGACTTAATGCAGACTTAACATGAAGGTATTATATATGCAACTAAATGACACACATGGTATTTGTTCTAACCTTCTCAACAGAAAGTGAACATGTCAGGACAGCACCCCTCGATGACCATTATACTCAAGGGGTGTAGGCACTGATTCCCCAGGGGTGAAGTGATAGGAGCACAAACATGAGTCACTAGTTGGCTCTTTGTCTTTCCTCCTGCAGGAAAAAATGTATGTGTGATGCCCAATGTGAGGTAACTGCATATTATAAAGCTGGAAATATTGTACAAAGTTATGACAACACAAGCAAACTATGCATGTTACTGCTCTTGTTATTGCTATATTGATATGAGACCTCACAAGACACAAAAATATGCATGGTAAAAAAGAGAGCAACAATACATTTCAAATGTAGCTTGTCATTAAAATGATCATGAATTTCACTACATCAAAAGTGAATGAAATTAAGTGATAATCAAAGACTGGAAAAGAAGATCAGCATAACTACATAATATGTCTTGTTTCCAAAGCTAAAGTATGATCCTCAATGTTGCAAAAGTTGGTTGACTTTAACAATAACTTTGAATAAAAAAACAACATATGGTAAACAGTCACACTTCAAGGAAATCGCAAGATCCATCCAACCTTTGACATGCCCTGTTTGGAATGCTGTTAACATGCTATGATCTTCACAGAATAGGTAAAATCAACTCAAAATATTACATTCTTTTATTACAAATCATATCTTCCCATGAACTTCATTATTGTGACTGCAGAGCTCATTCAGTCAATCAGAGACTGTGCAGAGACTTCATCATTCAAACAATCAGAGAATCAATGTGCAGAGACTAACACTTTAAAATCTAGTGACATTTCACAAACATCTTTTATGCTACAAGCTTATGCTTACCAAACACTTTTTCATGACTCAAATATGGTGGTGTTTATTTTAAGTGAAAACATTCATCCAGCACTAAGCAGATTATTTCTAAGCTCCACAAAGTCCCAATTTCTGTTATATTTCGCTTGGAGTCACTTCATAGTTTGAACTCAAAGTGCCTTGTGGATTTACCTCAGTTATGTAGGTAAATCCACAAGGATTGATGGGTTTTACCTCAGTTATGTAGCTGCTCCCTCAATTTAAGTTTCTCGTTAAATTTCATTGAGGCGTTGCAAGATGGGCTGTAGCCAAATTCACTTCCCTGTTTGGCTGATGCTCATAATACCTGGACATTTTTAATTCCAATTTTTGTAGCTGTTAACAATTGATGAAGGCCCAAGTACCTAGACAACAATGACGTTACAGAGGAAACCCCTGGCTGTGTTTCACGGGCGCGCTGGCGCTGCCAGCGCAATCTGTGAGCTAGCGTCAACCTCTGGTAGTGTTGGAGGTATAGGCTTGTTGATGTCTCTATGGAAATCAAAAGTGGCTGGCAAGTGTCGCGAAACACCACCCTTATTTTTGCACAATAATGGTGTGATAACTGTTGCTGCAAGAAAATATAAGGTGAAGTGAAGACGTGAAGTAAAATCAGGTCAGACATTAATATATACCCAAAAATAGCAGTGTATGAAGTACCTATATTCACATTACCAATATAGTACTCAGCTTTCGTTGAAATTAAATAAAAACTCAGCATATATCGGACGTTTCGTGTTCGGTTTAACACTTCATCGGCGATACTGTCATTATGTCATATGTGTCATATGTGTCATATGTGTCATATGTGTCATATGTGTCATATGTGTCATATGTGTTTTTACTGTCATATGTGTAATATTATCACATTACCAATAATATGATGCACAACAGGCCATAGAAAAACAGGTGAATATGGAATTGTAACCCAATTTCAATATCAACATGGCACTTGGCATTAACAGTAAAACACAAAGTTTTTGATGTTAAATCAACAGAGAAAACTCCTGAACATAAACAAAATGATCAGAATGTATAATAAGGATAAAAGTATAAATAAAAATCGACGAATCAGCCTATCATCGCCCTTACACGTTCACCACTCCCCATTCCACGCACAGATTGTTTACCCCTTGGCTTACCCCGTGTTCGCAGTCTCCCGGACGACGAAGATTCTAAACGCCGTCCGACCAATCACGTTCAAGATCAGCGGGGCTTGGCCGCGGTTCTCGAACGTCATTGGCCAGATTACGCAGAATCTTAGTCGTCAGCAAAACTTTGAACACGGGGTTATATTTTTCGCTATGGTAACAAAAGCGCCAGAATTGACTACCAGAATTGGATCCGAAGGTCAAATGGGTCACGTGACTGTGCAGTTCAGATGGACAACACCTGGGTATCTCGGTAAAGTCTTTGAAGTCTGGCAACGAACTTCTCAACCATCGAACAGAAAATATCAGTAAATGATCTTTTTGGCGGGAACTACTAATTATGAATCGTGCTGTACATTCCGCCTCGGCGGCACTTGAATCATATTACATTGCCCCATTAGATTACTGTTTTGAATAATTACTGTTTGAAGTATGTTTACATGGGCTCTGTACCGGAAATGGCGGCGGAGTAGAATTGGCAGTACTTCCTGCTCCTAGGTAGTTTGAGTGATCTCCACTTGCAGGAGTGCTGATGGTGTTATGGGGAAACGGTGGGGGAGGGGTGGGGCAGAACAGGCGCCATGACCCGTCTCTGATTAGGTTTTGTTTACGACAACGCTGTCGAATTATTAAATACATATCTGCTGGTGGGCCTTTGAGTTGCTAAGAAGAGACCTCGTCCGTGTTGCGTACAATGATATAGCTCATACTGATGACTCATCTACAAAGTGCTGCGCGATGTAGAAATCTGTTGACCGGAAATTTGCATTCTGAATAATTTATGGGTGATGCCACAGCGAAATATGGCGCTTTACATCGCGCCCTTAGAACATGCTAAATCATTCATATTGATAGTCTTATGTTTAATGTACTAAAAGGTGCCCGGTCATGCCGCTCCGAGTCCACGCGTTAAATATTCATGGCTATCCGACATCAAGCTAGTGGCGTCCTGTAGGGCGTCGGCCGCAGCCAGACCTTACTGATGCGCTCGCGTGTCGGCGGACCGGATGCCGTATTTATCCGATCTGGAAAATAGGCGGTATTTCTTGCTGCTAGTTTTTGTTATAGGATGCATGTTTCACATGCAGATGGGAGGCTTCGAATAGCGGTCACCTGTGATAACGTGTGACGAGGTCTCTCCGATCAATTTGAAATGGTGAAATGCGAAAATGTCGAAGGTTTTCGATGAAATTATTTCAGTGTTCTTATCGAAAATAATGCCTGGTAATTTGATAAATCAGGCATTGAAGTAGCTCGTGCGACCTAACGTGAAAACTACTAGGAATCAACGATGAACCCAATTTGACCGAATAGCACCAAATTTGGATGTGAGCCAGATAACCATAGTAAAAACGGCTTAGTTACCGATTTGACTAAAATCGACCGTAACAGTATCCTCATATAGGAAATCAACGTATGCCAATTATCGCTATTTCTACACCGAACCTCAGTCAACTTTTGCATACCTCCTCGCCATTTATCATTGTGGTACTGTTTTGTGACGGAATGGAACGCATACCTGTGAAAGCATGCGTATCAAACCGTTAACTATCACACCCAATTGTGCCTGCTTATGACATGGCGCTGGTTAACCGAAAATCTTCTGACCGGTGTCCCCTAGTGCGTGAGTATAGCCGACATCTACCGTCACGAGTAGCCTATTTCCTTTCCGGCGTCCGTTACCGCCGTGCGTCACGTTAGGGTCGTCTCGTGGCGTCACGATCCTCCCCTCCCCCTCCCCCGTCTCGGACCAGTCCACCCCAGTGTCTGACTCTGATCTAAAGGCAGGTGGTCTCACACGTCCATTGGACGGCAAGTATAACATGCCAAAATGGCCGACAGAGCCGTTATCTGGTCGGCGGCGGTGGGGATGAGTTATGCTATTACGCTACTTTTGGGATATTAGCAAGTCGTATACCCGGGGTCGCCAGGGGCGCAGCAGTGGATATGAATCGACAATGGTGGATGACATGTGCTTCATCATTTTAAACAGCCATACTATTCTTATGCATATGTTCTTCATAACACCATGCAATATTTTAACCCTCCTCATGGCCTGAAATCGTGACTGGACGCTGGAATTAACGCAGTGCACTGAGCCCACCGGTGAGGACGAATTGACAAAAAGCGCTGACTGCTGACTTTACCGGCCAAGACAAAAGTGCGGCTTGACCTTTGTGACCTATGTAACTTATGTGTGACTTGGTGACCTCTTATTAATCTCATGTGTCTCATGGTGATCTCTTTGTGACCAACTCTCCCTTCGTAACCTCTCTGTGATATATATGACTCTTGGTGACCTCTGCGTGACCTCATTTAACCATGGTGACCTCTATATGACCTCATCTGACCCTGAGTGGCCCTGCAGCTGACCCTCGATGACCTCTGTGTTTCAGATATGACGTTCCAGCACCAGCTGCAGGCCGCCTGGCAGAAGTCGTGGAACCAGAAGCAGAGTCTGATGCAGAACCTGCGGTTCAGAGAGCGCGGCTCCATCAAGTCCTGGCGACCAGAGACCATGGCTGAGGCCATTATGTCCGTGCTTAGGGAAGGTAAGCCTGCTGCCTGCCACTGCCTGCCACTCTTCTCCGACCCCAGTCAGATTCATGATTCAGCGGGTGATATTTCATTTCCTCTGGCCGGACCTGGTCAGATCTAAGATAATCTGGAGTGATGATGGAGCAATGGATGATGGGATGGAACTATATTGAAGGTTTTAACCCGGCAGGCGGTGGGCCTACCAGCCACCTTCCGCGCGGTGGGGGGGGGGGGGCACTTTTTTGCCCCCCCCCCCGTATCTCCGAAACTACTGGACGGATCCGGAAAATTCAAACGGCGTTCGATAGCCCTGTAAAATTTGTCTAGGGAAACCAAATTTCATTGACCTCGGGGTCACCGATGACGTCACAGGTCAGGTCAAAGATAAAATGTTTCACCGTTCACGGGGCTTCTAGGGAAAGCGCTATAACACCGAGTAAAACGCATTTTGTCGAAAATCAGCGATAAAGCGTCAGTTGTCTAGTACATATGTTGCTATTAGAGGTCACTGGTCATACCAGGTCAGGTCACAGGTCAGGTCACCAAAGGTCACCAAGGGTCACCACATGAGCCCAACTTTACTAAGGTTATGCGATGCATGTTTTATGGCCAGTTTTTCATTTCCAACTCAATGGTGTTGGTTATAAGACCATCAGGTACGGTTTAGGTCACTTTCTGGTGGAGATCAGGTCAAGGTCAGGTCAAAAAAGGTCAAATTTCAAAGTTGATATTTTTGCATAAAATGGGTATCGATTCGATGCAGCTCGTCACGGGGAGTCTAATGGTGGTCTTTGTTTTGCGCTACGAGGTCTAGAATTGCTAAAAATTGAGTTTGAAAATTTGACGTCATCAATTTTAAACAGTTTTTTCGCTATAACTTGGCCAAAAAAAGAGGTATCGATCTCAAATTTGGTATGTGGATAGAAGGCGATAGGGGCTATCACATATATTCCGGTTTTTTCGAAATTCAAAAAATATTTTTTGATTTTTGGGGGTCAAAATCCAAAAAATTCGAAAAACCGAAATAGCAGTTTTGTAGCCCTCTTAATTTCACACCTTTTATGTCTGAAACATGTTTCTGTATCTCTAAAGCTGTAGGCCTGACAGCTCTTCCCGCGAAACCTTTTTTTGGGTCGAAAATGGCAAAAATGACGTCACTCTGACGTCATTAGCGGCCAACCTATCATAGCCTTTGGAAAAATTTTTGGTCACCATGTGCGCTAGCTGCTCCCGGGAGGGTACTGAAAGTTTGGTGACGATCGGCGCAGCGGTTCTCGAGATATATCGAAAAAACTAAAGGGGGGGGCAAAAAATTGCCCCCCCCCCCACCGCCTGGAAGGTTAATCAGGGCTGCGGAGTCGATGGATTTTCGGCGACTCCGACTCCGACTCCGACTCCGGCTTTCAAAAACCAGCTCCGACTCCGACTCCGGGCAGAATTGTGGACTCCGACCGACTCCAACTCCCGACTCCGACTCCGCAGACCTAGCAGGGCTGCGGAGTCGACAGATTTTCGGTGACTCCGACTCCGACTCCGGCTCGGGTTTCTAAAATCGACTCCGACTCCGACTCCGGTCACAACTGTCGACTCCGACCGACTCCGACTCCGACTCCGACTCCGACTCCGCAGCCCTGGTTTTAATTGACGTCATATATACCTATTTTTCACGAAATCCCCATGGTCACAGCGGCCAGCGATGGGACAAGCTGGTAGTCGGCGCATGTTTTTGTGCCGCCCATTGTTCGGAAAGTGGAAACTAATGGGCGCCCACCACCCCAAAAACTATGTAGCTACATCCGGACTCATTACAAGCACAAATTAGGGAAGTCGCTTGTGACAAAGCTCGATTGTCGAGATACATGCGGGTAAAGAATTCGAGGGTCCTTTGTATCCGTCAGTTATTATTTCGGTCGCCCTGCCAGCAGAAGCAGGCTCAGTTGCTCGGACACGCCAATTTGAATCGCGCCCTTCTGTTTATATAAGGGCCTGTCAGATCCTTGTTCTTTAAATTAAAATGACATTACGCAGATGGGTTGGATGCTTTATTTATGTACATGAGCAAGGTGTGGTCTTGTCTTAATTGAGTCCGGGAATTAATGCTACATTAATCCGAAAATGAAAGGTTACTAGCCCTCAGTGAATCAAAAGTATTTCAGGTATTCATTGCAGGACGTCTATCTTTTAATCAGAATGGTTAAAGTCGTAAGTCTTATTAAATGCTTCCACTTAAGTAAATGGATATACATGAAGCAACAATTTCAATTGACGTAAATGTGAGCGTTGCGAAATTGCAAAAGTAGATATATTTATCATGTTTTACAACCTTCTTATTAGGCTAGTATGTTAATTATATTCGCTTCATGCTTGCAAATGTATGTCGATGATTATTTTTATACTCTTCATGACTTGAAGTAATGTATATATTATTTTTTAGGATTATAGGCACTAGGCAGGGATTTTTATTACCAAAAAATAATGCCACCATTAGCCCGGGCTGTCTCAAGAGCCTATTTATATAGATTGTGTCAAAAGCAACACTAACTGGTTCACACCGGTATAAATAAAGACCGTATAGTTCTCTAGACTGGGGACACAAGGAGTATGTATTGTGCAATGTGTATCCTTTGTCATCTGTACGGTGCAATGTGTACCTTTGATAAGACCGGATTGTTCTCGTTGTTGCCTGTATAGTAACAATGAACAACGCGTCTGAGAGGTGCACACGGTACATATCCAAACCAAGTGAGTCAGTATTACAACGTTTCGTCCGGCTAAACGTCTGAAATACACCTTGAACTCAGGACGTAGATGACAAATCAAGTAAGCCTGGCACGGTATTGCTTGGGGTTGATGGGGTGGGTAGGGCGGCCGGGGGAGGGGGGGGGGGGGGTGCGGGGGCGGTCGCTGTGAGAAGCGATGACGTCATTTCCGCCAAACGGTATCGAGGTAGAACACGTGTCGTACGGGGTGGGAAATCTAAGGATGTGGCTTTCAATATCTGACGCAATATTTGCCAAACTATTCATCACAAACATTCTGGTAAGATGAAATCACTGGGGAGAGTGTTCGTCGGAACTGTTATTGATGTCCATGTGCTATAAACTGCCAAGTGTAGGCAATAGGCATGCCATCATATCCAGCATAGGGATTTTCCGAATAATGTTGAACCTTTGGGTACTGTATACGCAGTGTTCATTTATCCATAGCACACAAAGACTTCATTTATCCGTAAAAGAGAACGTAAATATGTATTCTATTCCACCAAGTATTGTCTTAAAATAGCAAGCTGCTGACAGCATTATTGTTCTGCTGAATAATTGTATGCTGCCTTTGACTGGGATGCTGCAATACCAGATTATATAAAGCTCCAAAAACCGGTTTCTGGTAATAGTTTGAAGCTGCTATTAATGTTAAGTGAATGTCAAACTTTTGCCGCTTCAATTGATGCGCCGTTGAGCTTTTATTGTCGATTTCTATGTGGTTAATGCATTAAGGCACATTTTTTCGCGTCGCTTACATTATTTTTTTTCTCTGGAGCCTATATGACTTGAACATTCCAGGAAATTACCGATAAGGTGGGATTATATTAAAATCGGTAAATAAATGTGGGGGCGGTCATTCTGCAAAATGGCTTTGTGATGTATGGTCCTGCAACGTGAAAATTTGTTTGATTTATAGTATTTATAACTGGTACTGGACAAAGCGACGATTGTAATAATGTTATAAAATTGATATCCATGCTCCAACATTACGTTGAAACTAACGTGGTCCCTATTTCTTTGAATATTCTTGCTCTTCAGAAGTAAGTTTTTTTTAGAAGTATAAGTATAAACATCTTTTCGTTCACCTCATGTGGCCCTGTTGAAGTTATCGCATGTCGTACCGTGTTCATTTGTGTCGTGCCATGCTCATTGACCCTGACCTGACCTCTGCGTGCCCCCCAGGTCACACACTGTCGCAGGCGGCCCGGAAGTACGACATCCCGTACCCGACGTTCGTACTGTACGCCAACCGTGTCCACAACCTGCTGGGACCTTCCGTGGACAGTCCCGGCTGCGCCCCCAACGGTCAGTAGTGGACGGGTGGTCCACAGGAGACGAGTGGTGGTCCACAGTGGACGAGTGGTGGTCTCCGTTGGACGGCGGGTCCCTGGTGGACGATTGTGATCATCGGTTGATGGGTGGGTTGATGGGTGGTCCTTGGTGAACGGTTGTGGTCCTCGGATGGGTGGTCTTCCGTGGACGAGTGTGGTCCTTGGTGGACGATTGTGGTCCTTGGTTAAGGAGTGGGGTGATGGGTGGTCCCCGGCAAACGATTGTGGTCCTTGGTAGATGGCTGTGGTCTCCAGTTGATGGGTGATCACCGACGGATGAGAAAAAGGGATCTGCCAACATAAAACGGATGTGAATCTATAGGGATTGAAATGTACTTGGAGATCATTTGTGTAGGACAGCACCCTGACTTTTTTAGGCAGGTTTGTCGAAATAGTCAGGCTGTGCCATTCATCCCCGCGATACGCCTCTTTGTAGATATAAGCCAGCATGTAGGACCTACCGAACCGTCATTATTGAAACACTTGAATGACAAAAGAAAACGGCAGACCCGTCTGCAACTAAATAAAAACGCTAGCGCCAGCACTCGTCTGCCTTGTACGCTAGATATTGACAAGTTATTGAGAGTGTTCCTGTGAATCCATTCGCGAATGACGGTCGCTTATCGTGAGGTCTCGTGTGCCAGTCATTCTAGCTGCGCCGGAACACCGGGCTGGGCCACCGCTCCGTCGCTCTGACACTGCCGACAGCGTTTTTGTGGTTCGCTTCTTACCCCAGTCTTAGTCAGATGGTGGCCAACTAAGCCGGCTTAGCTCGGCCAAGTCGGCTGGGTGGCTCACATAAGCCATGAGCGAGAATTTCCTAGCGTACCAGTCACCAGTTCTGTGCTTGTCCGAGTCCTGGGTATAGCTGCTCTTTGTTGATAATCTTTACGACTCCGCTCTCTTATATTTGTATGAGCCCACAGTCGCCAAATTTTAGTAGAATTCATGTTATCATGAAAACGGTAGGTATGATACGAATTCTGAGAAACTTATCTATTTTAATGATTTAATGGCGTGGTATTATTTCACACACATATATTTGCGCAGCACTGATTTCTCTTCGCCAGGTTGACGATAGAAAGCGTCAACAGCGCATTGTTGCATTGCATGCTGTCATCAGTCAAAACGCTTTTGGTCCTGGGCGGGTTCATATCTTGCACACCACATCAAGGTTTGATGCGGCAAAAATTCAACAAAACATTCTTGCTGGCATTGTATTTTAAGCTCCATGCATTTTCACGGTATTTTGTGATTCATTCCATTTTAGCAAGTTATATAACCGCGGAAAAAAAGAGTCTTATGATGTCAAGGTATTTTTATACATATACACATTATGACAGCTTATTTCAGCGGATTAGTTCTTAACATTCCTGCACTGTGTCGATAAGTCTATGTAATCGTACATTTTTTATTGTAAGATACTGCACGACTTCGTCGTTATGTAGGTAGTCATTTGACATTTTCCCATTTATTTTTAACTATTTAACTATACATTTAACTATAAGTGGTGTTTTCTTCAAGAAATGCAGCCATGCAGGGACTATAGGCAACCGTACACAAGATTGTCGGTCCTATTGATAGCGTGTACTCAGTACGGGTATGCTGTAAGACGAACAGATCGCGGTGCATTTCATCAAAGCAGTCTCGCTGGCTTCAGCCCGGGCAGCGGACTATTTACAGGCCGGCCCGGAGGAAATGAACACGTATAAAGTTCGCTCCTGCACGAATGTACCGGGGAACGGGTTCAAGGAACTGGGCGATGGCGGATCACATGTCTCATGTAATTACGTCCAGTTTATGTTCTGCTAATTGTTCGTTTTATTTACTTTCTTTCCTTTATGTCGCTTTGCAGCAGTAAACTGTAGATAATGAAATGTGACATTTAATAGCTGTGTTATGAGCACAAAAGCTACCTTTCTAATACGTGCTTCCGAAGCGTGCAGTGATTTGTTTCGTGATTTGTTCCCTCAATAATATTCCGTTTTCTATTGCAATGATGCCTTTATATCCACCAACATCCATTCCGACCCCGCTGTTCCATGTTTTATGAACAAGGCTTACCACATTGGTTCATGTTTCATGCGAAGCCTACCCACCCAAGACTGCCATTTGACATGGAATGGTCCCGTTTGTCCCTCGTTGCTCATGCATTGGTCATTGTTAACAATCCCAATCACCTGCCATACGAAACCCTGTCTGGTTCCTTTACATGTGTCTGTAAAACAGCAGACTGTATCGTAAATAACCAATCCTGGAAATTGTATGGCACAAAATAAAAGCGTCGAGATCCCGAGCCTGTCTTATTTGCACTAAGAATGCAAATCTGTCTTTGATATCTGGATGTCGTTGGTTAACATGCAAAGAACTTAAACAGCTTAGAGGAATAGGAGCGATGCATTTTCTTTCTTTATTTTTATTATTGTTTTTAAAGCGACTATTATGTAGACAAGTATTTTTACTGCATTCAAGACTGCACTTTCAGTCGGTATTCCTTTAAAAAAAATTGGCAGCCAAGCGCGTGTTGGCTCCCGAGGCGACGTTATTTGATACGATATGTCCACTGCCAATTTTGTACATATACGTGTAAGGTAGCACTCGAAAATACCAGCTGCAGTTTTATGAGTAACGTTTCTTTGTACGTTTTATGCTGACAGCCGCACACTGCCGCTGACAATATGCGAGCTGACGCTGACGGCTACATGCTGATGCTGATGTGCCGACGCTGACACTGTTGTGCTGACACTGACGCTGACACTGATGCTCCCTCAGAGATGCGTCCCAAGGGCCGCGGCCGGCCGCAGCGGATCCTGCTCGGCAGCTGGCCGGACGAGACGGTCAAGAACGTGATCCGTGCTGTGGTGTTCCGTGACACCTCCGGACTGAAGGAACAACAGATGGAAGAGGCCAACGCTGCCGCCGCAGCCGCCGCCGCCGCTAGAAATAATGTGAGTCGCGGCTGAAGTGCTCAGCTCGAGCCGGGAACGTCCTAGCTCGTTCCAGCCTTTCATGTGATTCGGTCTCTTTCCGGTTGGAAGGGGAGGGCGGCCATATGACAGGGGCGGAGTTTAGTTCAATGGAGGATGCGCCAAGTCATGACATCGCCCGGTGCTAGCCGTTCGGCAGTGAAGATTAAAAGATAGGACGGCGTTAGCGATAATGCGGCATTTTGGCGAGTCGTGACATCATGCACAAGAAATCGCTGTTTCCAGGGATTCGCTGCTGTTTCGTGCTTAAAGATGTCTGATTGTACAGATTTTGTCTTTGTAACAATGCTAATTATTTGCAAGACATGTAGTTAACGCCTCGCGTAATTAATTTCATGGCCGAAATATCTGGAATATCACATCTCTTTGTTTCGCTGGGAGGCGGAGCCTCCTATGCCGGACCCATTATTTGTGGATAAAGTGATGTTACCTTCATAGTACATATTGTTACAGACAATGGAATGATTGGTGCCACTTGTCTCCTTTCCGGGAAAGCTGTATTCCAGAAATAGAAACAAATGGGGTGGAGACTTCCATTTCGCGTCTAGCTAGACGCGTCTGAGTCTAGACGCGTCTAGCTGGACGGCGGCTGCGTCTATCTGGCAACAGCTAACTTTAGATGCGTCTATAGCTTGGAAGTCTCCGTCCAACAGTTAGACGCCAACTTGGAAGTCCGCTCAGTTAGACGCCAACTTGGAAGTCCGCTCAGTTAGACGCCAGTTGGACGCCAGTGAAAGTCTCCACCCCATGATGTAATATACGTACAAAGTTGTTATCCGCCCATGCTCTCTCAAAACAACCCAAACAACCCAGAAACCCTCAATGTCTAACAAATCATGCATGAAACTGTAGACTGGCCTCAATTTGTACTATGCCGTGACGGCCATTCTAATAATAACCCGTTCATTTTAGGGTTATCGTGGTTCTAGCATCATCGCCCATTTCGAGGTCGAAACCGAAGTGAAAGTTCCGATTTCAGCTAAACATTCTTATCTTAATCCAATGTCACGTGTTTCTCCGACTTCGAAACAGCAACAAACTTCAGTTTCCTGCTGTGTGCGGCTGTTTGGTCAAATGGGAGAGCGAAAGTAGCAAATAGGACGGTAGCTTTACTTGCTGTTAGAGTAGTCGTATCACGAGTCCCGATTCATATCCTTTTGGCCGATATATGGCAAATTATATTTGGTGCTTCTCTTGTTATAGCATTTCGACTTAGCTTTAACTTTGCGACCTTTCGTTTTGAGGAGCTTTAAATCTCTTCCGATCTTAGTTGGTCCTTTCCTTTGACGGTGTGATGCCAATTAACCCGACATTTGGCTTTTAACACAACTTTCCACCAATCGCTAACTTTGTTCCTGTCAAGCTGATTCCGGAGAAACTTATCAACTCCTGGCTCGGCCGTCTACTATCGCCTTTCCGTTATACTAGCTGGCGGTGCGATTCCAGTTCCGTTGACCGTATGGCTGTGTCGCAAGCGTCGAACTCGAGGGGGGGCGAACTCTGGGGCTTGGGGGTGCCCAGCCTTCAGTCCCACCGAGACAGCTGTATATACGGCTGAACTGTAACGGCGACACGCGCGCAGCCGGTGCCGTGCCGATACCCACCACTTATCGCCGTCCTATCGCTGCGGCGTCGTTTCATGGTGCCCTCCCCCCCCCCCCCCGGTCCGACACCGGTTTGGTGCAGTTCTGCCTCGCTCCAACCCGAAGTCAGATAAATCTAGCGGCCCTGACCAAGCCGTTTCGGGCTAACGCCGGATGTGAGGAATGCGAGCGGCTAGGTGCTGACATAGCGGCTACATGCACGGCAGAGATGGTGCAGTATGCTTAGGAGGAGGCTGAACTGTTGTTTAGTGAAGAAATGCTTGGCGACAATATATGTTTTGCCGAGTATTTACAGCAGGAGAGAAGAAATTCTTATGTATCTGCGTGTGAAAACAGTCACTTTTGCGATCTCACTTTTCTCAAACGTGCTTGGTGAGCTTCATTGTTCATAGTTGTCAAAAAATAGTGTTTCATACCGAAAGAGAACTTGATCTCTATTCCCATGTTGGCTGCATGTCGACTGATTTCAGTTTCACCCGATCAAATTCCAGCTCCGAAATTTAAAAGCGACAACGTTATTTATATTCACGAATAAACGAAGCTATTTGCGATGATCAAATTCAAGCTATCGCTCATATCGCCTCGAAGTCGGCTTGGGCGTTTTCGTGGAAAACACCGTTATTACTGATGTAAGTTCCTCACAAATGCTGATGAAAGATGTAGCAGAGTTAGTCATTGGTGCCATGTAAATAACCCGCCTGTAGTTTATCCGCCCCGTTCGGGACGTTAAATACACTTACACACGAATGTCGTGCTGGCGCCAGTCACCCAAAAACATTTTATATTTGGATTTGGTGTGATCAAGGATGTATTCAATTCGCGTTAATCCGCAGTAGTACCGCATATTTATAGCGTGACATGATTCAAGCGCCAAGGCGTTTTGAGGACAAAAGGTAGCAGCGCACCCAACAAACATGTTTGTGACTTTTTGTTGGTCACGTTCGCTACCTCAACGGTGCTTTTATTATAAATTGATGCTCCTGAAAGGTCAAGGTTTGGACACTGACGATGCAGACCTGTGATTTCATAGGCTCAGAATCTCTTGTAGCACGCAAGCCTGATCAATGTGTTATCTTTGGAAATGAATAAATCAATGCATTGATTTCACTAAAATATTTCACTAAAAGAAATCAAGGGCACCTTACCTGATCGTTGCTTACCAAAGCGATATTTGATTTTGTTTAATATTTACCATGCATTGATCCGTGTTCGTTCGATGGTTTTACTAAAGCCGTGTCGTGAACTTGACTTTTTATTTAAATCCTCCGTTTTTGCTTGCGTCAGCGTTGTTGTTCGATAGGCCCGGAACAGCATGCATGCACTCTACATTTGGCTATCATGTTCCTTGAAATGTCACTCACTGCTGAAGGTGGGCTGTCAACCGATGGACATGAGACGTCTCTGGGCTAAGGCTCAGCAGAATGTCATCGGGTGTAGTCACCGGGTGTATTGTGGAATAGAAAACTTAGTAACATGATTCAAAAGTAACGTCTTGGCTCGAGCAGCAGGCTCAAGTAGAAGACAATAGGAAAGGATGTGCTTAGATTGTGAAACGTGATTCTTGCGTCGATTTATCTGCGTGTCGATTTATCTGTGTGATACTAAACTTCACTGAGTGTGTCTCCGTTTTGTATATTGACACAGTCTCCGTCTGATATGGGCGCCTCCGTCTCCGTCTCTGTCTTCCGTCTCCGTCTTCCGTCTCGGCCTGACCCTGTCTCCGTCTCCGCCATATATACCAGTCTGCGGGAGACTTACGTTTACGTTTCCATTTTCGTCTCTGCCCCCAGGAGAACTCCAGCCACGGGCCGCCGATGTCCTCTTCTCAGCAGAACGGCCGACCACCGTTCGCCGTCACATCGGCCGGCATGGTCCGACCCACCATGGACGCCGGCCCGCGGGGCCCACCGGGCCCTCTGGGTCCCCAGGGGCCCCTGAGGCCTCCCATCGGCCACCACGGCGCCGTGGGCCGGCCGCCGGCGCCGCCGGTGGCGCCGCCACGCGGACAGATGCCGAGTCTGCTCGGGTTCCCGGACATCCACATGATGATGGGCATGTTTCCGCCCGGGATGATGTCTTCGACTGGAGCCGTCCCGACCATCAACTGTGAGTAGTGGCGATAAGTTAGGAACGCTTTGTCATCACTTTGCCATCACTATTCACTACAATGAGTACAGGACTGGCTAGTTGGCTCTATAATTGGCAGCAGCTCTCCTGCATTTTGCTAGCGATATGACTTCAGACATGGCTGGTACTCAGTGCTTCAGTTGTTCCGCTCAGAAATCCCATGCATATTGAAGAACTGTCTTTTCCTTGCCTCCTGTTGACGGTATGAGCCTATGACACTCATTCCCGTGCTAACCCCACCGCCCCGTTGCAGTGCCGCCGCTGGCCGACGTGCGGTCGTCATCAGCCGCGCCCACATCTCGCTCTCCCCCGGCCCGGCCGGTACCGGCTCTCTCCTCCATCGGGCCGTCCGAGTCCAGTCCGGAGCGTTCCGGCGCCGCCACACCCACCGAGGCATCTCAGCAACAGAAGATGGACACGGGAGAGAGCTCCGAGCCGCCGCAGTCACAGTCACAGTCTCAGTCTCAGTCTCAGCGGTCAGCCGAGGAGGAACCGGCCCGCCCGCCGCAGTCGCAGCCGCCGCCGCCGCTGTCTCACGCTCTGACGGCGGCGCAGTCGGCTCAGGCGGTCCAGTCGGCCACTCAGATGGCGCAGACGCAGCTGGTGGGGGCTCAGAGAGCTCACCTGATGCCTCAGGTGCCGCCACTGCAGCCTGACAGCCCGCCGAGCGGGGGTGGAGCAGAGCAGCGCCCTCTGTGGCCGCAGCCGGGAGCGGCAGAGAGGGCGCCACTACCGGTCACCTCGCCGGCCATCCACGCTACGCCCTGAGTCGGGAAAACGGCTAGCACAACGGCAGAACCACTGCAGACCTGCCGAGCCGACTGAGAAGTGACCAGACTCGGTGCCTCTCATGGCTGACACTGACTAGAATCGTTTCGACTTGCCGGCGAGGCCGGTTGTACAGGCTTTAACGAGAGGCTGCTGGGGGGCGGGTGACGCTTGGCGCGCTCGCTGCCAACTGCTAGATAGGTATTCAATTGGAATGTCAGCAAGATGAAAATGAGGGGAGTGTGTTCTTGGAAACGGGAGTTTTGTGGCCTTTCGGAAACCACAGACTAGTGGATGAGTTGTTCCCTATGGCGACTTTGGTGTACATATGCCACATGTTTGATGTGTGTTGGAGTATGTTGCTGTGGGTGGTTGTGTGAGGCCGTTTGCTTGTTTCTACGTTGCTATGCTGAATGAATGTGTTGCTAGTGTTTGAAGTACGCTGGGATACGAAGTTAGTTCAGAATTGATATTTAACGCGTTATTAGTGTTTTTTTTTCTTCTTCGAGTCAAACGACAAAGCGCATGTTCTTTTATTTGCCATTTCTGATAAATGGATTTGAAATGTTTTGGTGCCTTTCAACTGCGGGGATCATGTTCTGAGGGAAGAAGATACCAACCGAACCACCTTGGGTTCACTGGCTCCTTCAGACTAAATGAAAATGAATTTGGCTGGTACAGTATGTAAGAGTGCTAGTCGATGTGAGGTGTCAAACGTTTTGTGCGGTTAATGAGCCAGTGTTGAAGAACCGAACTAAGGCTTATCGTTAATGCACGGCGAAAGTGCTGAGAGTGGGGACAACGTCAGGTCAGTGAGGTTATGAACCTGTTGTATGTCTGCGCGCTGTCCCTGCGACCCTGCCGTCACGCTTGTCGAACATCTCGATCCTGCAGTGACAAGGGGCGCCCATTCAGTCCTGCTGGACCCACCAGGTCGCTTCTGTGTCCCAAAGACTGAGCGGCACGGCGGCAGGCTCGCCGGAGGGGACGGAGCGCGACGTCTATTGGGCTGTAGCAATCCACCAAGCGATAGCTGTATTTATTTGACGCCTGCCCGGCGCGGTGTGAACATGTCCTTACCGCGGCCGGCCGCACACCCGGCTTTGTTGTTCTCTGGCGAGCTTCTGTACAGCGCGGCTCACACTGCACATCAGTCTGTTGTTAATCGCACGTCGAGCGAGCTCGGTCGTCCGCTGCGCGTCACCGTTCGTATTTAGAGCCGGCGGGCCGCGCGCGTTCGGACAGAAGCGGTGACCCTCTGCGCTGAGGGTGTGTTCGACCGCCCCTTATCTCTCTGAGCCACTGTAGTGGGTAGTCTTCACACACTGAGAGACTTGTGCGTAATGTGGTGTGCCGCTCCGGGCCAAGCGAAACATAGCCGTTGTTTGTAATCTTGTATCGGAGTGATTGCTGGAGAGAATATATGCATTTTTGAAATAAAACTGAGTTTTTATGCGTTAGCTTTCAGATGACGTGTCACCAACACATGGAAGGATCGGCTCACTGTCGATGCCTACATATCTTCTGTGTACCCATAACCGCATCTATCATGTAGTTCCGTCTATACATACAGATCATATGCACGCCATTACCCTCGCTCATCAATCGTCCACTGCAAAGGGTCTGGTCGTGGGGGGGGGGGGCACCCCTGTATCGTACTACCACTGGTCACGACCGTACCCAATGAACTTTTCCTGTGGTCGCGAGTAACAACGCTGTGGGTGATCCCGGAATGCCGACTGTTTATTGGATTAGGAGACGGTCAAACCAAAAGGAATGCGTCCACAATCATATTGCACATGGGTGATGATATCGAAGTTCCTTATCTGATAATCACGTCCATTTATTTACTGTAACGTTTTAGTGTGATGCGGATTAGACGGGTCAGTGATTATTGCAGCTCCCGCCGCACCTGAATAATGTCAGTTAGTGAACCCATTTACTAGTACACGAAGCATGGTGTGTCATGCATGCAGCGTACCTACCGTTTACCAAACGGTGACCATTTAATAAACGGTCATGGCGGATGACGTCACGTTTCACGTTTCAGAAACTCGATAAAACATCCGAATACAGTGAAGCAACAACCTGAAGCCGTCGCAATATCCGATAAACTTCGACCAGTTTTATCAAATTGCTATATAACACACTTCGAGTGCGGGTGCGATAAGTTTTCAGCAGCACATTGAATCGTCCACTTCTTTAAACGTTACAATCGGGCATTGCGTATCTGCTAAAGGAAAGGTAATGCGCTTACCAGAGATTATGCATTCAAATCATATTTCCTCTTTTTGTCATGGCGTAGGTAAGAAAGAAGATAAAAAGTGGCTAATAATTGGACGACAAATACGTTTATTTAAGTGCAGTCATCTTGAAACATGTTGCGACGTAATTCCATGACGACCCTCATGAGGGTCACTCAGCCTATTTCATTTCCCATTAGTCCTCCCCTCCATACTGGCTAGACATCCTAGACATTCCACCACACCCTCTCTTCCCTCAGCTCTCAAGCCTCACCGACTGGCACCGAGCACACAAACGGCAGCGTCTGCGAGCAGCTGGCCACCGCCCATCCACCAACATTATCCACATTGGCCACCACGCAGTCGAGCAGGTTATCCTCGGGCTGACCCTCTGCCCAGTTGGCATACTCGAGCGGCTCGTGGTCCACCCATTCAAACTCTCCGGAGGAGCGGCGGTCCAGCCCGATCAGCGCGGGACGGCCGGTGGTGATGGCAGCCACCGCCGCGCTCGACGCGTCGTCGCGCACCAGCGCCAGAGAGGAGTCGGGGTAGGCGTCGTCGCAGATGATTCTTGCGGCGTCGTGTTCGGCCTCAAACGACTCCAACCAGAAGCAGAGACCGCTGGCGATGGTACCTGGGCAGCTGGCAGTGGTGGAGCTCAGAGAGACGAACAGAAGCAGGGCAGATACGAATGGAGACATGGCTAAGATGAGTTGAGGAGTCTCCTTTGCTGGGACGGTGATTGAAGTGTCCAGAAGATATCGGTGGAACTTATAGCGAGTGAGGAAGCGCGAACTGCGAGCGTACCGTAGCTGAAGCCGAGAGAAATGCGAGTGGAAAAGTAATGATGGATGTCGGTCGTATCGATATCGCTATCTGCGCAGAATCGTGTGAAAATTTACAGGTGAAACAGCTGGCGAAAAAATAGTGTGGTCGACCGTTGATAAAATTTGACAAGCGGCCAGTCCGGTGAGAAAAGGCCAAGTGGCAAGTGGGAACGCTACATTGAGATTTGTGCGAACTGTAATTTATTTCACGAACATCGTACCACCATTGATATGCTTACGCAATGCGTGTGACGTCTATTTGATCTCCCCCACAATCTTTCTCCCTACGAGACATGTAATGCTGCTTATAATTATATAACGGAGATAAAATTTAGAAGTAAATTCGTATCAATCCACCGAGTTTATTCTTTAAATAATACATCCGTGCAGATGAGGCTAGTGGTATGCCAGCAATTCGCAGTTAAATGAATTGAATATTACAGACGAAAGTTAAAAAGGATAGGTACTTCACCTTGCCTTCTGCAACAGATCGGCAAGAAATATGCGAGGCTCTGGCGGACAGCCGCCTGTGGTTGGTTAGGTGGCGGGATGATGTGACCGGTCAAGGTCGCGCCGACGGTTTATTGTTTTTACACTTTTATGAAGCATAACTATTACCTAGAGACTTATCATATAGCATAGAGACCAAGAGACAATGCCGAATTGCGTAGAAGGAATGTAATTTTTATGATATTTGCGTCAGTAAAGAAAAAAACCACTGTGGGTAATTACGGAATGCAATGTCTGGACCGGTACCGTGCCGGTGCTGCGCGGTACACAGCCAGCGGGACAGTCTAGCCGCAGGGGCGGCAACCGGGTGCCTAGCGGGACAGTCTGCCCGCAGGGGCGGTGACCGGACGTCGGCGCGGCTGCCGGGCCGTTTGCCGGTCGGGAGCCGAGAGGCGCGGCTGTCGAACCGTGCTGTATCCTTTATTTCATTGCTGTGTACTGTGCTCTCACTTCATCTGTACTTCTAACTTAGTTGGTATAATCGGGTGAATTGAATATAACGACTTTGAAGAGGCAACCAGCGAACGGCCGGACGACCGTTGCAGTAACGCAGGTTAGTCTTACGTTTGATTTAAAGTTTAGTCAGTGTTTCTGGTAGGCATGTTTTTTTTCGTCGTTGCATTGGCTCATCCCTGATGGTCGACAATAAATTTTCTAACCTCTCATTGTCCTACTTATGAATCCTCGTGCCAGAGCCAATCGATACCTACCTATTCGAACAAACCCAAGGTCAAACGATGTATGTTAAGTCCAGTTCGCTCGCGCGGCACCATGACCTGCATACCCTGCACACCCCTCCCCTCAGCACCCCTCGGCCCCAACTGTGACGACAGCACGCGGTCGCGCTTGCCGTGGAAACGGCGCACCAAACAGCGGTGGCAAGCCGTTCGGCCGCGCTCGTCGTCGCGTTGCCCAGTCGGAGTCGGGGTGCACCCTGCCGCCACCCGCTGCCGCCGCTCGTGCCGTGCCCCTACCCGTCCACCGCTCCAGGAGGTCCCTACCTCCCGGACACGTCACCTCACCGACGTACCCTCGGCCCATGCACAGTCTCTGTAAAGTGAGTATGTAGTGCATCGATTACGCGGTGCAGCCGCAATGCCGACCGGTCGCCGGGACGACAGGCACAACAGGCGGCGCCGGCGGCCGGCGAAACGGCCGGCACTGAGCCCGCCGCACATAACCGTCACGGACACAGACGCTGAGGACGACTGGGCCGAGCCGTCGCGACAAGAAGTCGCCATCGACGTTGAGGACGCCTACCAGGCTCGGCAGTCCCCGATCGACGAGCTTGGTGAGGAGTCGTGGGCCGACAACGAGGCGGAAGAGCCGAGCTGGCGCGACTCTCCGGGCGACGAACGGCGGATTGGCGAGAGGAGTCGTGGAGAAGAGCGGGAAGACGAGAGGAGTCGTGGAGAGGAGCTCTCGAGGACCGCACTGACAGAAGAAGAGGAGATGTTGCTACAAACTGCGGTGCCGTACGGTGCCAGGAGCAACACGCCTAACGAGTGGGGCTTTGGACACTCGCGGGCAGCCTCGCGAGCTGAAAGTGCCGATGAGGAAATCCCGGAAGAGCTTGACGGAAAGTTACGGTCGCGCTCGCGGTCACGCTACAAGGACGTTGCGCCTCGTGTGGATTCGAGACGGAACAGTGGCAATGTGAGCCACGCCAACAGTCTACAGGACCTCAGTCAACGGCAGGAGGTTCACAAGCGTGACAGCTTCGCCACCACCCGTCATGTCAGCCTGGACCTCAGCCCGCGACCGAGGAGTGAGGAGAGAGGTAGTCGTCGGCGACGATCCCGGTCCCGGTCCAGATCTATGTCCCGGCTTGCCATGAAGAAAGAGGACACGGGCTATGAGACAGACTATGATCAGATCGGTAGCCGGTTCGCTGAGGTCGGGGAGAAGTGGAGAGCCAAGCGTATCATGGTGTTCAAGAACGGCGACCCGTGGTTCCAGGGCTGGGAGATGCGGTTCGTTCCCTCTCGTGACACAATGGACAACATCTACAGCAGGATCTCGGCACGCTTCGGTAAGTAAATGTTCATTATGCGTGTTGAAAGATGTTTCATTGCGAGACATTGCGTAAGAAAGAAAAGTGCGCTCACTAGTTCCGAAATAAGATATATTTCGATGTTGTAGATGAACTTAATATGCCATAGTGGGATGGTACGATATGACATAACATCGATGACAGTGACGTTATAGACATAGAAGGTGAAATCATGCATCACTCACATTATAGATCATTCATTAGCTTTCCATACGAATCAATGCCATACAGCCATTCACATTCGTTTAACGTCATCACAAATTAATGAGAAAAAGTAAGCAAGAGCGGCAGTCACTCGGCGAAGGCCAGCATGCACCCGTTTCGGTCCTCGTGTAGGAAGGTATTCAAAGTCGTTGTTCCACATCACTTATTCAGAGTGCACTTGATGACTTTGGCTTGCGGAAGCTTTGTACTCTCATTAAAATTATAAAGAAGCTCTACTGCAAACTTCCAGTATGGGAAAGACCAAAGGCATAGCTTTTTGCTGACGACCTTTAAATTAAAGAATGTTGGACGACTTTCCGTCGCGTGCATTAGCCGTCACCTCGACCACTCGGCAGTACCCAAGGGACCCATTAATTCACGCCTGCATCGGCACGAAGTGGAGTCATTCCAACACTTTCCAAGGCCGTTCAACCGCCTAACGAGCCGGCCAGGTGGTCAAACAAGCCCCTCGATGGGCTCTCACTCTGCACCAAGCTGCGTCCGTCACGTTCAGCGATTGTTCCATCACCTCGTAGGAAAACTAGCGACGGGATGGTGTGGACCTGAAGCTCAGCTTTGAGCCGGCGGGCTGTTTGACTTCCATAAGGCACAGCAAGCCAGTCATCATGAGATTCATTCATGTGGGTGCTCATCTCGGTCAGCGAATGGTCCACGGAGACGAAAACCACTTCCACTTCACAGCCTTCCTTCAGCAGCGTCTCGTAGAATTCCTTCAATGTCGGCGTGAATTTGCGGCAGGGTGTACACCAGTGGGCAGAAAAGTAGACACCGACCAGCCTCTTGCCAGCGAGGGCGTCTGAGCCGGTCACGGGGCTGCCTGAGATGCGCCTCTGCAGTCGGGCCGACTTCAAAGTGTCCATGGCGGACTGGTTGTGTCTTCTAGAAACCACAGAGACACTGGTGACGACTGACGACTCCCCGCGAACTGGCTGAGTTCTCTGACACACGCGGTTGATGTTTATCCTCTCCCGGGGTCCACCACGCACTGAGACACCGGTCGGCACTGGACCGCCGACGCCCGACGCACTCCGAGCGTCTGACGTGACGTCACACCGATTGCAACACTAGCCGACATTGGCGCGCTGTATTTCCCCACTCACTCTGCACACTGATGTTACAACTTTGTCTCGGTGAACGGTGTCATGCAACGCGGCACGCACAACCCTGAAACAATGTGTTAAGCCTTCGTGAGATCCGAGGTGATTCGTAGATGTGCTCTTATTATTCATGTGCTATATTATATGATCTTTTCATGACCCTGACGGTGGCGTGCAGGACCCATCCTAAGCCACATATTGACTTATAACAAATACATGGTTCGGTACCAAGGCGATCAGCTTCCATAGCTGCATTGATGATCAGCTGATAGCGGTGTCCGATCCAGTGCACGGCAGCTGCGTAAACAATTGACCGTAACTAAGGTAACGACACTGAAGGAGCGCGGACAGGGTCGATGACGAGTCATGCAGCTGACGGCCAGGTAGTCAGAGCGGCAGGCGGGGGCAGTGGTGAGTTCGACAGTGTCACTGGGGTCTTCGGAGGGCTTCTTGAGGGCATTGGTGAGCTTTTGTCTCTGGTGAAGATTCGTTACTTGTCAGATAAATAGAGAGATTGAGCACGGTGATGTGAATGGCACTGGGCCACACGGTGAATTTATTTGTATTCCTACTTCATGGCTCATGGTTGCGTTTAAACATCATTCGCCTGAACTCACGACGAATTGCTCCCCAGCTAACACCAGTCTCTGTTCCAGGCTCGCTGGGCGTTCATGGGTCGGATCTGTCGTCCGGGATCCGATACATTTTCACCACCGACGGCACACGAGTGAAGAACATTGACGATCTGGTGGAAGGTTCCAGCTATGTGGCGTCACCTACCTCCAAGTTCCAGGTGAGATATTGTGTGATGATTCATGGAGTAATTCTGTTATGAAAGTGACAGAATGTTTCATATCGCCTACATTACGGGCGTAGGCATTACCTGAAAGCTGCTTGCAATCTGCGAGCGGCATGAAACAGTACCTAATACCCTCGATGTTTTAAATTGTTTTATTCACACCTCAGCAGCACCTGACGACATCGATAACACGCAGCGCCATATCAGCGGTTTGTGTGGTGTGTGTTTCTTCACGCTTACGTTTGCCGTTGTACACAGGTAACGCCCGTGCGACCTTCCCACTCAGCTCAGCGGTATGAATTAGTTGCTATCGAAAGTAACAGAGGAGTACCGAAACGTTCGGTTTGCTACTCCACAACCCATTTTACGAGTATCTGCTTTTTAGCGCCACACATTGAACCACTGATCGTCGTAGGGCTTGGCGTCTCGGCATCTCGGCATCTCGGCATCTCGGCACCCCTGAGCATTGAACCCACGATTGCAGAAGAGAGCTTGCAGCGACAAGATCCATTTCCTCGCTCTTCTGCTGACAAAACAATCACAAAACTGCCTCGCTATAAATATGAACTGCATTCAGCGGACAGGCAAGAAATGATACAAAATGCCCGATGGCGCCGGCGGACATGAACATTACAAGCGAATCCTCTGATTCTGGGTAAACTCGATGCATCCAGCCAGCCGATGCGGGCGCTGGGGTAACTCCGCTGAGCTAGGCAACTCTTACTTCCATTGGTTGGCGGGGGGAGTGACGTCATCTTGCATGGGGTGACGTCATCTGGCAATGAATTACGCATCACTGGCGCCTCGATGTGAGGCCCCGGCTGCACTGACAAGGTCATGTGGGGTTCAGGGACGGGTGCTGTTCGGCTGTTGGGATACCCAGACGCTTAGAACCGTAACATGGTGCAGACTGCAGTAGATGCTATTACGCATCAATTAAAGCACATGAATAAATTGAAAATGTAGTTTAAATATTCATTCAAACAATTTGGTAAAATCAGAGAGACGAGATAACAACAATTGATCTGATATGATACGACCGTCCAAAATATTTAGCACTTACCTACAGCTCGAGAACTATCGAGGGGTTACATCTGACAGCTGACTATGAAAAAAAAACAGAGTGTCCGTCATGAGTCGTCTCAACAGTTTGATTTCAAAGTGCGAGAACTTTCTCTATCCCAATAAAGTATTTATACAACCGTGACCGCAACCCTTTCGGCTATTCTGATTTTCATGCCTAATTTCAAATTCCAAGCACGCGAATCGGTCATCGGATGCCTAAACTTGGTAATTGCAACAGTACGACGGTTTAGGACGACCAAAAAGTTGACCAAAACTGTGTAATGGACAAAACCCTGTTTAGCCTGGATTTAACTGCGCGATTAATTGATCGAGCTATACAATTTAAAACACAGTGGTACGACCGTCAGTTTTAGCAAGAGAGACGCTCTCTCGGGACCACACATCTCCACGTTTGACATCCGCTAACGCACACACGTGGTCGAAGTTAGACGGACACTACCGGGAAGGATGCTGGATGCGTTTCCTGTCGATAAGCGCAGCGTCCCGGCCCCAGCGGTCGCGCGCGCCGCGTCTCGCCGGTGTGGGAGACCTATCGGACAATCTGGGACCGCGCCAGGACCCGCGCAGCCCTCCGGTCATCCCCAAACCGGTCTGTAGAGGCGCCAGCGAGAGTGGTCAGACAGAGGCTCGCCTCCAGGGCTGCCTCCGATTGGCTGCCGCTGACACGTGGGGGGGGGGGGAGGTACGGAGGGGGAGAGAGTGAGCGGTGGCGGCATGCATACGTCGGCGGCCGGTGCGACGCCCGGTCAGTAGCTGATCACAGACGGCCAGTGGTGGTGTGAACGGTGTAAACATTTCGTCACCTCATAGGCTCGGTGACATAGTAACCGGCGAATTCAGTGTGATTGAAACCAGTGCTATCGCTTCTCCGTCGGCCTGAACTAGTGATCTCCGAGGGCTCGGTTCTATCTCTCTACCTGCACCATGCTGAGCACGCTGAGCAGGTGCCTACGCGGCGCTGGCCGTCGGGCAAGAGCGGCTTCCAGTCGCCACCTCACCACCAGCGCGAGAACGGCCGAGATCATCGCCCGAGAGGCCCGACACGGCGCCTCCAACTACGCACCCCTCCCGGTGGCTCTGGCACGCGGCGAGGGCGCCGTGGTTTGGGACGTCGACGACAAGCGCTACTACGACTTTCTGTCGGCTTATTCAGCAGTGAATCAGGGTCACTGTCACCCTCGCATTGTGCAGGCCCTGACGTCACAGGCGCATACGCTGACGCTCACGTCACGTGCCTTCTACAACACGGAGCTGGGAGAGTATGAAGAGTATGCCACTCAGCTGTTCGGCTTCGACAAGCTGCTGCCGATGAACACTGGCGTCGAGGGTGGAGAAACCGCCAACAAGATGGCCCGTAAGTGGGGCTACATGCGCAAAGGAATCCCCCAGAATGAGGCGAGGATCATCTTCTGCGAGAACAACTTCTGGGGGAGAACGCTGAGTGCCGTGTCGTCTTCTACCGATCCGACCGCTTACACCAACTATGGTCCCTTCATGCCCGGCTACGACATCATTCCCTTCAACGACCTCGCCGCTCTGGAGGAGGCCTGCAAGGACCAACGTGTGGCAGCCTTCATGGTGGAGCCCATCCAGGGCGAGGCGGGAGTGGTGGTTCCCGATGAGGGATACCTGCGTGGCGTGCGAGACGTCTGCAGCAGACACAACGTGCTCTTCATCGCCGATGAGGTGCAGACGGGTCTTGCACGCACCGGTCGCCGGCTGGCCTGCGATCATGAGGACGTGAAGCCCGACATCCTCATCCTGGGCAAGGCTCTGTCGGGTGGTGTACTTCCCGTATCTGCCTGCCTTGCTAACGACGAAGTGATGGGTTGCATCACCCCAGGAACTCACGGTTCTACATACGGCGGCAACCCTCTGGCCTGTCGCGTTGCCATGGCTGCTCTTGAAGTCATGGAGGAGGAGAAGCTGGCTGAGCGCGCGCACCATCTCGGAAAGCTCCTGCGGTCCGAGCTGTCCAAGATTCCTTCAGACGCCGTCACCACGGTGCGAGGGAAGGGCTTGATGAACGCAGTGGTGATTGCGCCGGGTCTGGATGCCTGGCAGGTGTGTTTGAGGCTGGCGGAGAACGGGCTGCTTGCCAAACCGACCCACGGGGACATCATCCGTCTGGCTCCTCCACTGGTCATCTCGGAGGAGCAGCTGCTGGAGTGTGCCGACATCATTAAACGCACCATCCAGTCCATGTGAGCAAGCTACACAAAACTGCTCAGCCGTCAACGATGCCAGTGGCATGACATCGCCATCGCGCATACCAATTTAATCCGCTTTTCTGAAGAATGATGAATTGTGTCAAGTGTCGACTGTCAGCATGATATTCTAGTGGCCATACATGCGGCTCGGACTGAAACGAAGAAAAGCGTCATGTGACGACAGCTTTGTCCTTGAGGTGATTGATGTCAATGACATAACGATATAATTGAAGCTTCATGAAGTGCGAAACACTTGATAGAGCCGTCAACATCATGGCAAGTTTCCGAATTTGTATATTCTCTATGTAGCAGGAGCTTCTAGCAGGGCTGATACCTAATACTCATAAAAGTGTGCTTAATATGAACTTTATGTGAGCCAATCCGAAAAATAACGATCATAAATGTAATACGCCAGTGTGGGCCTTAATGACGGCAATGTGTAATATTCACGGGAAAGGTACCATGTCCAGTATCCGCTGCCGGATTGTGCCATTTAATAGTTGTGCTCTGCGCTGTTTGCACTTTTAGCGTTTAGTTTTATCTCCTGTTTAATCATGGGCCCGCCCGTCTCGGATGGGCTTTGTCCCTTGTTCCCAGTCTACTGCGCAGTGCGCTTGTGGATATAAATGGGTTGAGGGTGGCTGTCGCTATTATACGACTCTAGGCGGCAGAGCCTGTCCCGGCCACTTGACAGTCAGCATGTCCTTGCTGCTAAACAAGACGGCTGCAGTATCAGCAGTTCACAAATAAACCACCCCCACATCGATATAACATTCCAAATTTAGTTTATGTGCACTTGGATCGTATGTGTCAAGTCGAAAACTACAGGATGAGTATTGTCATCAGTAAAGAGAGCTTGTGACCGATATGTGCGACGCGACATTTTATACCGATTTACAGAAGAACCGTACTCATATGTTGATTTGTGACGGAGTGGTAAATAATGTGCGTGCTTTGTACTTTTCTATAATACATGTCTGACCTACAGCTGCTCTTTTCCCTGAATTTTGTGAACTTCTGTGGCCGTAGTATAATCATTTGAGATAGGAGGCGTCAAAAAGTGTATTTTGTTGATGGCTTTAGCTACCACCGCTCATGATATTTAGGTTAACCGTTAAACGCTTAACTTATTCACGGGTTCATTAGACTAATTGGTACTGAACTCATTACAATGCATGAACGTCAGACTTGAACGTGCTAGGAGTTTTTAGACTTGTGTGTCTCTCGCAGGCACAGATGACAATTAACGGGGACGGGGGAACATATCTGCAGGGTGAAATGAAATGAACCCTTCCCGGCAGCCAGTTGGGAACGAACCCGCCGCTCTTCAGAGGCCGTTGGCATTGAGCTTCATGTGACCATCATTTTACATAAAAGCTCACGATTAACAGCTCTGGTAGCATACATCAATATCAGGCGGACACTCCCCCGGCGAAAACAATGCCCGATGGCGCCGGCGGAACTGATCATCACTGAGCCCAGAGGTTCTAGTAAATTCGAGGTATCCGGCCGGCTGGGGCGGGCGACAGAGCTTCATGCGGCCGAGGCGACCAACTGTCCAGTGGCTGGTGACGTCATCCACAGAGAATGACGTCATAGTGCCTCGTCGGAGTCGACTGAGCTCATGGTTCCACTGCTCGTCGGTAGGGCTGCAACATGACGTCATACTCTGCTGTTGACGTCACCAGTAACTGGACAGTTGGTTGGCGTTGGCTGTGAAACTCTGCCGCCCGCCCCTGCCGGCCGGATACCTCGAATTTACTCAGAACCTCTCGGCTCAGCGGTAATGCTCTGTTCCGACGGCGCCATCGGGCATTGTTTTCGCTGGGTGGGTGTCCGCTTTATATCGATGTATGGTATGCAAGTTATTCTGTGAGTATAACGTTACCGTTTAGGTGGTAACGTTATTTTGCGATTTATGTTTGAACGTGGACTGGGTCGGGGTGCGAGTTCGAGTCCCCCTAGCTGCTTCATCCAATTTCATTGGTCGCGGAATAAAATCATGAAAAATTCTAAATTTTACAGTTTAAAGATTTTATAAATAAGATTATATCATCTTTGCATGTGTAATGCCTATACCAAAAACGTGCAAACGTTGCTTATAACTGGTTATAAAACGACATCGAGGGGCAGCAAATTCTGAGACAGCGAGGAAGCCCATGTATTCTTATATTTTGCTATCGATTTTTTCAGGATAGGCCGTTTCCGGCTATCCGGCGCTCGGCGTCGAATTTTAGTGCCCATTCGTCAGTGACGGTTGGCCGGCGGTCCACCAATGTCTAATTAGCGTCACTCGCCACGCTAGCCGTGTCAACAGTTCGTTAGACGGCCTCAAACACAAACAGCGCATCGAGGAAGCCACTTTTTGAGTGCAATGGCGGTACCAAGAATGGAAAAAAGCGCATACATTGCATCACATTTTCGAAGGGAACGGCACGGAGTTTTGAAGAAATCTGAGCCAATTACTATTTCAATTTCAGCTAGCATTTTTGGAGCATGCATGGATGCCTGTCAACCAGTGACGACATCCGCCTCTGCTGAAGGCCCATTCCACAATAGTCGACAGACCCGGCGTCAGTCTCTTACTGTTCGCCGCGTGCCCACCACCCCATCGAGTCCGGTGCCCGTTTGATCCAATCTCTGGCGGTCGAGGTCAGGTCATCATATCGCAGGTGTTCACTGTTCACCATTGGGGTCGATCGGTCGCCGCAGCCCATCGGTGATCCTATCTCCTGGCCAGCAACCGATCAACACTGAGTGTAAACACAGTGACGGAGGAGGGGTGAGGACCGACAGAGGCTCGGAAACTGGCGGAGCGCCGGCAGGTGGGCCGAGTGTGGCGGAGGAGCGCGGCCGAGGAAGGCGCTCATGCTCGGAGACGGAGGGACAGTGCCCAGACGGAGGATCGCCTACCGGCCGCCGGGACGAACCAACCGCTATTTCGACGTGACCACCTACCGAAATCCGCGGCGAGTGAAGTTGGGGAAGATCGAGAAATGTCCTTCGCCGTCGCTGAAAGATCTGCCAAGTCTTGCAGCGTCTGAAAAAGTTCCGTCTCCGAAACCGCAATCGCCGCTTCGACCTCCCTCTCGACAGCCGCCTCCGCCGCCTCGGCTGCCGCCTCCTCCGCCTCCTCCTCCGGCAAAATTCCGAGCCCCCAGCGCTCTTCAGAGGCTCCGTCCGCTTCCATCCATTCCAATCCGGGCTACACAGCGTCCAGCACCTGCCTTCCGCGTACTGGACTCGCTGGAACAAATTCGTCAGCGACGCGTCTTGGAGTGGATTAGTGAGAGCGAGCGCTACCAGCGCCGGTTCGGCGGCACCCGCCTCCGACCACTGCCTCCTCTCTCAGCTGCCGCGCCCACGTCCGCTCCAGCACTGAGGTCCCTCACAGCGTCACAGGAGCGGTTCGGTATCACCGAGAGTCGGTCCTCCTCGCTGCAGGCACTGCCCTCGCCCTCTCTGCGCCGACCTCGCCGTCGCAGTTCGCAGCCGAGCAGAGCTCACTGGAGAAGGGGGAGAAGAGGGAGTGCAGAGCTCACCACTCGCTCCCTGCCGTCATCGTTTGTGGTACTCAGTCGACCGAGTGTTTGACGGCGTGATGAACAGCTGAGGAATCTCAAGTGAGACCCGTATAGACGCAGAAGTCCAGTGAACTGGCATCATCCTACCTCCAAGACTGGTTTTAGAACTACCTCATTGAGGAACTAAAATTCTTCGTTTGGACTATTCTAAGCGTGATTTACTAAAGGCAGCGAACTGTGAGATCTTTCGGCATACCTAACAACCTCGTGACCATGGTGGTGATCACGGTGACCGATTTTGACGCGCCGCGCCGTCCGGCCACCTCGGCTCCGTCTACTCGTCATCTCCTCACTGTCTCCGACCCTCCTCCTCTGACTCCTCCGGACGAGTCGGCAGAGTCCTCTGAGGCCTCCCTGGAGGAGCCCATCCCATCAGCCGCCTGGAGAGAGGCTCCACAGGTCACCACCAGGGCGGCGCCACCGTCGGCTCGTCCGCTATCCGTGTACGCGCGTCTGTACAGCGGCGTCGGTCACCGAAACGCCAGGTGCTCCTGCTGCCGAGCCAGGGCTGGTCTGGAGCCGGAGTCCGACTTCAGCTCGCCAGAGGGGGACAGAGGTCATGGAGTGGGTCATAGAGGTCATGGAGGTCACAGAGGTCACGGTGCGGGTCACAAAGGTCACCGTATGGGCCATTATAGTCACGGAGAGCGGCACAGAAGCAGCACAGCCTACGGAGTTCGGGATAGACACGAGTACCTGGATCTGGAGACAGGAAACCGCGGATTTGTAAGTTTGAAAATACGAGACGTTGTTTAGCTCGCAAACAATGACATCGAAATTGAACAGCGAAATATGCTTGGGCCACTGTGATAAATTCATAAGCTGATGACTTTCCTATATTTTTACCATGTCAAGCCTTTTGCTCATATTATTGCTGTTACTCATAACGAGATGTGCGTCGGGTCAATAAAGTACTTTTTCTTTACATTAGTCATGCATTTTCGTCATTGCTCTTAGACTTTTTAAGGTATTCTGCTCTGGATTGGCCTCCTACTCCTATTTTTCTTTTCTTTTCAGAAAGCGCCGTATGGTATGAAGCGCTCCCAACCAGAGACGGGCGACATGAGTCCCAGAAAGCCTCGCCGACATCGAGTCAAACCGCTATCACCAGTCGTGAAGCGCGTGTTCGGCAAAACCAGCCCCGGCTCCGGACCCGGGTCCGGGTCTGGGTCCGGATCCGGGTCCGGAAAACATGGCGGACGGCGCTCCGGAGATGGCTGCAAGATCAAGATAATAAACAACCTGGACAAGTCGATACAGGTACAGTGCACTGGCGCCCCGACACACATGCCGTCATCGCAGTCATTAACCCGAGTGATTAATTCATGGCGACCGCCAGGCGATGAATATTGCAGCGGAAATCGTGCGCGCACAAAAAGCTCCTGCGAATGAGGAAGGGCGCACAGTGCACAGGACGTATGCTTTCAGTGAACGTTCTGAGTAGTGGCGATCGATCAAAGATAGGTAGCGCTTAACGAACCGCAGGTCTAATGCGTTTGACAGAGTCGATACAAGTATGTTAGAATCAGAATTTGCGCGGCGGCATGTGCATTTTGATTAGATACTAGATAGGTGCAGATTGACATATATGTTTTAATCTTGATGCGTTTTCAGATGCGATAATTCATAAGCAGAGCTGCTCCAATGTTTTTTTTTGTTCATTTAGGTAAGATAGAATAGCTCACTTACTCGGCTACTCTTCTATCATTTCAGAGCTACGTCCTAGTAAACCTGAAGACGACCCAGCGATTTGAAGACGTTCTCCAGGACCTGGGGCAGGTCATCAAAATGAAAGACGCACGGAAAATGTACACTACTTGGGGCCAAGAGGTAGGTAAAACACATTACTGCGTTACACGTTTATTATATATGCCGGTGGAGCCAGGTATTCCATCTAGTTAATCCTTAAACGCTGAATAAAGGATACCTACATGTATCTCACTTAGGTTAACGTCAACGAACCAGTTTTCGAGTTCAATATGGCCAGCAGCATGCATGCGAATACCGCTCAGACTCACACTGCTCATAAGTTATGCCGTATCGATTGGGCTCCCTGGACTGACATTTGTTAGTCCGTGACACGGTAACGTTTAAGCCAAGGACATTTCAGGCTCGTGCCTACATGGACAACTGTAGACAGAAGGTAACTTAGTACATTTGATGTTGGTAAATGTGAACTCACCGCCAGTAACATGGCTTGGGACGTGGATTTATTATTGCATTTAACACTAAGTGTCATGAATTCATAGTTCTCACGACTAATTGTGGGATTGACTGCTAACCCACCTGCACAGGTGAAGAGCTTTTCTCAGCTACGAAATGATTTCTACGAGACAGACACATTCTACCTGAGCAATAGTGAAGAGACCACAGTAAGAGGATCGAAAGTGACACGAGAAGAGTCACGGAACTCGCCTCCAAACGACAAGAAATCCGGGAAAATTTTGCGACGGCATAACAGCGAACCTCTGATTCAAGGTAAGAAGTGGAAAGCAGACATATGTAATATCGCGGGTAGATATGGCAGAGTCAGAGTCAGAGTCAGAGTCAGAGTCCAACTAAGTCATCGGGTCTGGATATACCTTAAGAACTAAAAAAAAAAAATTATCCACTAATTATCTAACTGCTTTCTTAGTTTCTTTAGGCACAGCTGAGTCATGAAGTTTTACTCAGAGTGTAAATCATCCCTGTTTGTACATAATTTGTTTTTGTTTTTACTGTCGCACACGCACGCAAGTTCTACATTAGTTCAATGCATGTTTTCTGGCACTGAGACTGACATTATTTCCACTCCATCCGTTCTGCTCCAGCCAAGGATAAGAAGTCCAACTTAACTCGCAAACGGTCCGAGTCGGTGAACCGTTATCAGTCCAACTCTGGGACCAAAGGAAGTGGCGGTGGGGGCGGAGCGAGTGACCAGGTCAAGGTCAGCCTTCTAGGGAAGGTGCGGACCTTCTACAAGGCCTCCAAGGACCAGCCCGTGCAGTACCTGCCGCCTGAGAAGAGATTGAAACTGGCCTGGGTGTATCCTTTTGAGTGCTGTTGCTGTTGTGGTGTGAGACTGGGACCCTGCATGCTTCATTTGGATGTTATAGGCATCCAAGTGATACGAAAGCTTGAGTGATTAGAATGTCCTCATTGCACAATTAAAAATGGGCCTTGCGGTTAACTAATCCACGATGTTATTGACTAAGTGATGCTATTGAAAGTGGCGCAATATGACCGGCTTAGCTCAAGTGCCACCGACGTCCAGCTGTTTCCTTGACCGCCATATGTCCAGTTATGGGTACCGTGGTGTGGACGCCCACCACAACCTGTGGGTCCTCCCCTCGGGCGAGCTGCTCTACTACGTGGCGGCCGTAGCCGTGCTACTGAACCGACACACGGACTCGCAGAGGCACTACACCGAACACTCGGAGGATATTATGTGGTGAGCTATGCAAAATTGACTTTTAAAATGCATTATCTTTCGTAGTTAGCCGTCAAACAGCGTCAAGCGCTGCGTAATGTCAAACATTATGCTGATGGCCGAAATTGTTAGCAGCTTCAGATTACTTACCTAATGGTAAATGTTTACTATAAATATCGCATTCATATTCTGGCGAGTCTAATGGTACCGAAGCTAATCACACTATCATTACTGACCGTATTAAACATTCTTTTGATCACATTTACATAAACATCGCGCTCAATCTAGTAACAAACCATCTGACCCTCTGACAGCATGGACCTGCACCCATCGCGACATATCGTGGCATCCGGGCAGCGGGCAGGCCCGGGTGCCCGGTCTGCTTCCGTACGAGTCTGGGGCGTCGAGAGACTCGACACACTGCACGTCTTCGGCAGTCGGGAGCTGCAGGTCAGTCACGGGGTCTTCACGCGGGTCAATCGCGGGAGGTGCAGTTTCGTGTCAGTTTCGTCTCTTGATCGCACTTGACCGTCAGTTCGTATAATGAATTACGGATAAATACACGCTCAAGAATATGATACTCGATAATTCGATATTAGTTGACAAAAACTTCCCCGATCTAACCATTTCAACCACCTTCGGCCTTGCGATTCAGATATGCTATCGTACTCAGAGAAGCTGTTCGTGTACCAATTGTGTCCACTGTTCAATTGCTCACACATATATAATTCCTGCTTTTGCGGGCACCTGACACCCGTATTCTGTCCTCTAGATGGGCGTAGCGGCCGTATGTTTCTCGGTGATGAACCAGGGGGCCTACCTGCTGGCGATAGACGACGGTGACGAACACCTGCTTACCGTCTGGACCTGGCACAACGAGCAGATCCTCGGCAAAGTCGCCGTATGTTATCTGAACCGTCTCTAACTGGTTTGTCGTATCTCACTTTTGCACAGCGAGGAAATCTTGACCAATTTGTATAGTAGACTATTTCATGTATTTTGAAATGAGGTTACAAAATAAAAGATGTTTCTCCATGATATCAATGTGGAAATTTACATTTTAATCTTCTTTGAGTTCAGCTTCTCGACGGTAAAATGTTGTCACTTTGGACGATTTTAATGCAGGCCTTTGTGATAATGCGGTAGACTTTCGCTTCTAAGAAGATAAAAATGATATTCCCTGAAGCTGCTAGCGATGAGTAATAACATTTTACTTGTTCCACAGACTCACCAAGATCACGTGTACGGGGCCAAGTTTCACCCGATGGATAACAACCTCATCATCACGTTCGGCAAGAACCACCTGACCTTCTGGAATAAGAGGAGGGACGGCATCTTCGACTCGGTCGACGTCTTCGGAATGGTATGTTTTCACATGTTCTCTCGATCGAAAAAAGTTATGACTAAAGACGACTGAAATCGAGTGTCATGTGGGCGCTGGAAATGTTTTAGGTACCGAAAAAATCAATATATAGCTAGCAAACCACAGATCTTTATTCTCTATAGCCCGTGCGCATGATACCTCAGGCTCGAGGCCGAAGCCAGAGCATTTTTTATTGCTACACGCCACTCATTTAGTACCATGGTTCTCGAAATCGGTCACCGCCCCGCACCGCTTCACCGTTCTTCGCTCTCCCTTCCAGTCGTCAGCACGCACGGTGCTCTGCGTGGAGTTTGAGCCGGGCGGTGACCTCATCACCGGCGACTCGGACGGCTTCATCACCATCTGGACCATCGACAACGACGGACAGTACTACAAACGGGTCGACTTTGAGGTCAGTATGCAGCACCTACCACAAATGGGTCGACTTTGAAGTCAGTGAGTAGAGCCGGGGTCCAGGGGCCTCTAGGAATGAAGGTGGAAACAGACCGACCGGCACTGTGGACCGTATATGCAGTAGGTATATCGATACGCTGATGTGTTCCACGTGAGAAATTTTTAATCTCAAATGACTATAAAGCAAAATGTCAATACCACGTATCGTTTTCGTTTCAATGCTCCGTCTTACTCCTGACTCATCAACTTCATCGTCTTGCTCGTGGTTAAGTGCATACTTACCGAGGATTCACGCAAGTTACCTAATATCCCGTATATGATGTCACCACAGGCGCACATGTCGGCGGTGACGTCACTGCTGATGCTGTCCGAGGTCACGCTGATGTCCGGAGGGGAGAGAGACCGGAGGATATGCGCCTGGGACTCCAGTCAGGGCTACGTCAAACGGGCGGAAACCAAGGTAAATAAAGACCCTAATTCGAAGAGTTCTGCATACTATAGGGTCGGGTGGTTATGGTGCGACTTCAACGTCAAAATACGTGTGCCGTATGCTTCTGTGGTCCGGGCTGTTATGCGGTAACTAAGCTCTGGGACAGAAAGTGTTTTAGTGCTGAATACTACCTTGTATGTATGAAGTACGGGCCTCAAGAATGAAACAATTTCCACTTGTCTTATAACCACTACTTGCCAAACGTTTAACATCCTTCAGCTACCGAATACTAATTTGACTATATAGTCTGTGTCATTAATGCTTTCTTCAAAAGACGGCTTAGTTAATTTTCCAACGCTGCATGCTAGAAGCAGGTAATGTTCTCTTTTTAGATACCGGCATTTTTCCTCATGACTTCATGCAGCTGCGCCATCAACCGCCGTAGCGAGCATTTCAGGAAAAGGACATGGTCGCTAACTTAGCTTCGCACTTGATGGTCGGAAAAGCTGCACTGAGTCCATTTTCCATTGCCTTCAAGGGCGCTGGACAAGTAAGAGTCTTAATGTGGACGTTCTCCTACAGCAACCACCCAACAATGTTGACTCATTGCCATTCGACCTGACCTTTGTTGTCGAAAAATCAAGGCTACCCTGGTTGTAGAGCTTGCAAGAAATGATGACATTTGCGTGGGGTCAGCACCTAACGAGCGCCGCTGGCTCAAGCGCAGGCCGTGCAGTTGAGTCCGATGTGCTAAAATTTTTCATGCACACTTGTCGTGGAAGCGTATATTTACATTGTCCGTAGGAAACTGTCAATAAGAAGCAGAACCTGCTGTATAACTCTTCCTTCCCTTCATCAGCTGCCGGACGCCGCGGGCGGAATTCGAACGCTGTGCCCTCAGAGGAGCGGTGCCAGCGACGGGAACGTGTACGCCGGCACCACCAAAAACATGATCCTCGAGGGCTCCATCATGCGACGCTTCAATACGGTGAGTGACTGAAGCGATGACTGCTGCTTTCTTATTTCACGTCAATGCAATAAAGTGGACTGTCATTTTAGGCTGCCTCTTCATAGGTGATCTTTTTGACATTAATATTACTCTATTACAAAATGTCCCGCTTTGGAATGATAAATGCCATCGATAGGCATTTGAATGTAACGCACCCAGTGTACGGTACAAAGTAAGTGCTTACTATTGGACAGATTTGTATTTTACACTCCATCAGCGCTGCAATATTACTCTTTTCTCCATCGTATGTGAAATGAGCCTGACAAGTGACATTCATCCGTTCCATTTCGCTGGCAGGTGGTGTTTGGCCACAGCAAAAACCTGTGGGGACTGTCAGCCTGTCACGATAGTGACTGCTTCGTGACGGCCGGATATGACAGGCTGGTGGTCAAATGGAGCGACCAACATAAGGTCATCTGGAAGGCACCGGTAGGTGGTTTGGGTTGACCGACGCTCGGTTCGTCAGTCTGGCTGTCGTATGTCTGTAATGTGCAGTAAAATAAAAACAGACATAATTTTAAAGGCAAAGCAGCTATCCATACGTGTAAGCATAGAGGGATTATCGGATTTATGTCAAACGTTGATGGGCTTATTTGATCGTGATATCCTAACTAGATAATAAGACTGAGCACGAGCTCATATTCCGATCAATGCGCTAAACCTGGGCATCGTTGAGTAACGTCGTTAGTCCCGCACCGAGTAAGCTGAACATGCAAGTTTGAAGTTACGTCTGTGAGTTCGTGTCGTTCTGGCTAAACATAAAAGTAACTCCCGTGACCTCGCCTCGTTCCAGCTGAACAGCGAGGCGGTCTCGTGCGCCGTCCATCCTCTGGATACGGTGGTAGCCGTGGGTGGGATTGACGGACATCTGACCGTCTTCAAACTGAGCGACGGCTCCCAGGTCGGCTCCTTCCGCGTCTGTGGTCAGCCCCTCAGCTGTCTCAGCTATAGTCCTGGTACGTGGAATGAAGACTCTCAGCTACCTTAATTACAGTTATACGCATGCAAAATCTTAGCTGCAATTCCCCGTATGTAACAAATTTCTCAGCTGTCTCAGAAACTACTGCTCTTGCATCCAGGCTTTCACTTATCTTAGCTACGGTCCTTGGCAATGTTACGCTCGTTACGCTTGTGGCCTCTTCAGCTTTAGTCTCGATTACCCGAGCCCTCCATGCACCTCATGGGTCTCTGACCTGGCCGCCGAGGCTAATTCCAACGGTGCCATTTTAACTATCGTAGTACACTTACGTTTGTCTTTCGACGTTTTTTTTTTAGGTTTTATGTGTCCTTCGATGTTTCACGCATCCTTATTATATGTCCCGACCGTGATGTGCCCCTCAGGCGGCGACATGCTGGCAGTGGGAGCCCAGACGGGCAGCGTGTACCCGTACAAGGTCGGCAGGGACGGTCAGGTATACGTCAAGTTCGGTCCGATGCAGGGCTCCCAGCCGCTGACCCATCTGGATTGGAGCACGGATGGAGAGTACCTGCAGTCAGTCACCATCGACCATGAGCTCGTGTTCTGTGAGTGCCCAGTGGGAGATGGGGGGAGTGAGGGAGTTCAGTTGCAGCGTGAGTCTGCACTCAACTGATTCAGCAGTCTGAGGGAAAGCTCGGCTGCAGAGTGCGGAGACACGTTACGCTCGATGTTCAATGCTTCTCGTGATTACGTGCTAAAAAGCTCTCTTTCATTTTATTTATAAATTATTTATAGTTTATTTAGGGATGCTTCAAAGTGAAACCATTACTCACATACTGCTCTTCAAATACCTTACAGTTTGGATGTTCATTTCAGGGAACAAGCGAACTTTGGCAAGGGAAAAGTCGCAGCATCAGCTACGAGACAAGAACTGGGCAACCTATACATGCACTGTCGGGTATCCGGTCATCGGTAAGTCTTTGTGTCACCCAACAATATAATAAATTATTTGTCAGCCTTAAAAGTTCTACCTGCACCTCACCTCTGCCACCCTCCCTTCCCCTGTACCAACCCCTCTCTTACCCCCTCACTCTCTCCCCCAGGCGCGTGGCCGGAGCTGCACTACGACCGGCAGCAATCCGTTTGGACCGACAGCTACGCCGACTCGCGAAAGGCTCGGGTGCTGGTGTCCGCGTGCCGATCGCGAGATCACGACCTGCTGGCTGTGGGAGACTCCGAGGGTTCTGTTCAGCTCTTCAGGTGAGCCGGCGGGATGTGGAGGGACGAGGGATGGGATGGAATGGGACGGGATGTGAGAGGGGTAGGGGACATGTGCGAGCCTGAGAAGGTTGGAAGTTGCATGAGGAACGATGCTGGAAACGTGAGGGGATGTGACCACAATTACTATTATGCGAAGAAAAACAATGCCCCAGGCCTTTTCAGACGGGCAATAGGAGCACGCTAGGAAATAAGCGAAATTAGAGTTATATGAGGAGGCATATATCGGGTATGGAGTCATGTCAATTGAAAATGTCACCATGGCTAGAAGAACGGTCGTCAAGATTGATTGATAGCAGGGTGGGGACGATAAAATGAAAGATCTGCATTAAAAGCTAGTACGGTAAAGATGATGTCACACAGAATGACGTGCCTGTACCCATACTGACTCCTTCCCCTCCCGGCAGGTACTCGTGTCCACTAAACGTTCAGATGTGCCTGTTATGACATTTAGTGACCGACCCCTTTATTCACAGGTACCCGTGCCCACTGAACGTTCAGGAGACGGCCCAGTGCCACAGTGTCAAGCCACAGAGCTCCTACGTGGCTAACATCAAGTTCCTGCGCAGCGGCCGGCAACTGGTTAGCGTGGGAGGCACGGACGCCACCGTCCTTCAATGGAGGCTCCAGTAGAGGCTATCGACCCTTTGAGGGTCGGGAATCTCTACTCGTCAGAGGCATCTACATTCTACCAAAGATATCCTGTACTGATACAACAGGAGGCCACAAAAGAGACTGTCGCAGAGAATGTAGGAAATTCGTGGATGGAACAGGAATGGTTGACGGACCAGCGAATGCCGAAACTGAAAGCGATGCTGATCCAATAATGTAGAGCACGGATCAGTTTTTTTCAGAGTGCTGTGGTGATACCACTGACCACAATGTAGGCAATCGCTGACTTCTATGTATACTGAAGACATCACTGCGACTGCGGAAACAGAGATGCACGGGTGTATCAAGTAGACAGCAATAACAACCAATAAGTCAGCAGTAGATGTCCCGATGACAGTAGCTAGATGACGTACGATAGTTTATCAGAGAAGTTCACTGAGGCAGCAGTGACAGAAAGGTCCGTGCGACCTTAAATGTGATATCCGTAGAAAGTAAGTACTGCGATCAGTGCTTGTATGAGCTCGTGTGTACTTTCAGGCAGCAAGCATAGCGGATTGGTAGTTAGTTTGAATTGTATAAATGCCTTTAATTCAGAGCGGAAGGGACTGTGTGATACTGTGGTTACTTTCAATGAATTGTTTGGGTGGTGTGTGTCATTTAATGCGGATCATTGCTTGCAACCATTGCTTATAAGGTGCGTTGTTTTCAATCTTTTGTTCACGTTTTGATGTGCGTGTTTTCATGTGCACGATTTTCAGAGTGCTGGGCATGATAATTTCGCAACCTGTTTGTCCATTCCATTATTGACCTATACAGTCGGCTGAAAATGGCTTGTTGTCTGCGTTCATGATATCTAATTTAGTTTCATTTTTTACAGAAGTCGACTTTTACAATTTATCTGAATGATACACGAGTTCACATCGTAGCTCTTAGGCTTGTGTATAAAATGTACTAGTAAAAGTGGCTGCTAGCCAGCTGCGGTCGATACCAGCAGTGATGGTAGGAACAACTTTGCAGTCAATTGACACCGGCAGATCCTTCGTTGGCGACTTTGGTGGCCTCGGAGGTGTGCGCCATAAAGTGTTCTCGACGAGCTCACGTTTTGTTTGAGATACGCGTTTTCGGTGCAATTGTAATAGAGATTTCATTCTGAGCTGACGTTTGGTTTTAATTGTGAAAAACGTTAGCCTAAGCTTTTCTCGATAATGAATGAGAATTTTTTTAGTGTCCCGTCCTCTCCTCCAGGATCCATCAATGTTTCTGAGAATCACGATTCTTGAATCCCTGATCTCATTCTCAATAAAACATTTGTGTTCACTGCCTAGCCGACATTGGAATGGAATGATTCACAGACATTCAATTATATTGACAAAACGTCGAACGCCGAAAATGTGCTGCAGCTTCGTTTAAATTCCCTCAGATACCGGGGTCGAAAGCGCCTGGTGTTATACTGCACCGCACGGCATTTAAAGGTTACAATCTTCCCCGATAGATGGCAGTACAAAAATGCCTGCAGTTATGCTGTGCCGCAAGGCGTCAAGGTTACCACTTTTGCTGCTAGAGGGCACTGGGTTCAGCGCCTGTAGGCAGAGTCTGCGTCAAGTCGAAAGTCAACGGATCGTTAGCTATGTAATGCATTCAGACCAACAAACAATAAATATTCTCACCGTTCCGTCGCTTCAATCCTCAGAATAGGTATGTAGTCAACTCCTTCTCCTCCACACGCCTCAACCCCCTAACCTGGGCTGGACGGGCTCACACCGTTCCGTGCTTCTATCCTCAGGATACAGAAATCCTTCTCCTCCACGCCGCAACCCCCCTCCGGACTGGACAGGCAACTTTATCTCATGCGGGCTGCTCCCTTGGAGCGGCACCGCTGCTCCCGAGGGAGCGCACCCCGTAGCCGGGTGCAGTGAGTGCCTTGGGGCTGGGTGGCCTGTCCTCTGGACGGGCTCAGCCCCGGCGACTCACTAGGGTGCCTGCCCAGACCAATGTCTCCCCCTAATTCCTATCATCCTTCCGGCTCTGCAATGGTCTTGTCAGACCGAAAGGGCCTAACCCAACTAAACAAATGGACGGACAACTTTATCACAGGACGGAAGCTCCCCTAGGAGCAGGCCCGTAGCCGGGTACGGTGATTGTCAAGAGGCTTAGTGGTCTGTCCATTGGATGGGCTCAGCCCCGGCGACTCACCAGGGTGCCCGCCCAGACCAATGTCTCCCCTAATTCCTATCATTCTCCCGGCTCTGCAGTGGTCTCATTAGACCAAAAGAGCAAAAAAAAAAAAAAAAATCTAATGGATATTTCTGCTCTTCTGTCCAACCGAAGATACAAGGGTTTATATGAAGCCAACCAATTACTTTCTTCCCAAATGGTAGCGACTAATCGGTTATAAATACGGTGAACACACGGAATATCCAGTCGTTATCTGTATTGATAATGTTCGCACGCCACAGCACACTGACACATCACAGCTGTTGACACCTTCCAGGTGACACATTAGCTCACAACCCAATCACAGATACACACAGCTAACCTTCTCTGGGGCCACGGGGCGATCAGAGCACGCGAACGAGCATTCTACACAACTTCCAACACAGCTAATGCAATTTCGGCCATCTCGTTGGTATTCTGAGGTACGGAAGCAAGGAACTTCTGTGTAATAAGGCTATGGTAAACAGATAAAATTAATGAAATGAGCAGCTATTTTTAGTAATATGCGATGAGTTATACCGGTAGGACTATGCAGGTGAAAACAGACAGTGGTCCCGCAGATTTTCACATTTACACACGCACTTTTTCTTTTACCGGAGGCAAATGGCCATTCGTTTGATGAACGTAAACAGCGACTACCGGGACATTTGTAATTGTGAGTGGGATTAAAGATTTCGGAAGCAATTATCGAAGGGACAAAACCGCATAACCAGGAGCATCTCATACTCGCATTCATAAAGAGAAACTTTTACATACCCATGACAGGATCGATAAAATTGACATTGCAAAGAACTGTACATAATGATCTTGCCTAAATCAATAACAAAGATGAGTGGCCACAAATGCACGTCCGATCCAGGATCAGAATCAAAACAACACTCCAAACAATACTCAAACACGTGCGATAAATGACACGACACATGATGCATCCTACGCAATACTAGGGCTCGCGGGATTATGCATGATTAACATATAAAAGTGTTCGTAATGATGCCTGGGAAAGCAAAATATAGTAGCATATAAGATATGTCAGGAAAATAATTAACAAACTCTCCACACTTTTGATGTGTCACATCCTAAAAGCTACACATACAAACTATGCACTAAATGACACAAATCGACGCCACTTACTCCTAAAGCTACACAGCTAAAGCTGGCCAAACTCTAAGACCACAAATGTAGGGTCATTGCCAGCAACTAGAAGGCCCTTTGCCTGAAAACGAATCCCGAAACGGGTATAAAAAGGCACCGTCCCCTGAAATGCACTACGCTGAATTTCTGTGATCAGAATCGTTTCTAAAATAAGGCTGGCGAACATAGACTTATCACGCAGATATGGCTGACATCTGCTCACTATACAAACAGCGAGGTCACACGACACAAACAGCATTTACCACCTTCACAAACAGGTATCTACACAGAGAAGTTGGTAAAAACTGACCAACCATGCTATAAACAACACCAAGGACCTCCAGAAATGTTCATAGAGTGGCGGCAGATGCCTCGGCGCCGAAATCGCAATGCCAGAGAAGACACACGATAGCAACACGCTGATTCTGCATCACGATAGCACCACCGCATGTAAGAGTTCCTGAGGACAGCGCAGCATCCAAGGTAGTCACAAACTACAACCACTATCAACCCTCTCTCAAATTGTCTCTTCATACATCCATCCTTCACTTGAACCATGATGGGCCTACGATGACCCCGCCGCTGCCGCCGCCGCTGGGGCGGGGGCGGGGGCGGTCGAGGGGCCCGGCCGGTCGGCTAGCGCGGCCGCCTGGCCTTCCTCATCCTCGTCATCTTCGTCACGAAGGAAGAACCCGGCGCGGGTGCTTTCGGCCTCGAGCCGGCCCCGAGAGAACAGGCAAGCGGCCGAAACGAGCTCGTTGAACGTCTCTGGCTGGTCGGCGTACACGTGGTGAGACGCGCCCAGGATCGTCTGAGAAAGATACAGCGTAACGATCAGCGACATAAAATTAGCGAAAAGAAGCATAAACGCAGTGAAAGTGGTTGGCAGTTCATCGCATTTCGATTCGTTCCTTAGAAACGTCTCCTCGACCATCGGCCCCGTGGTGTAACGGTTAGCACTCAGGACTCTGAATCCTGCGATCCGAGTTCAAATCTCGGCGGGACCTGAACTTTTCACTTTTCATCAACCGAAGTTGTCCAAGGGCAGCAACGCCATTTCGAAGAAAGCAAGACCTCTTTCGAAAGCCAAGCATTCGAAAGTCCCCAATAAAAGAAACATCACAGGCAACTACATTACAAGCGTTACGAATTTTCAAAGTCAAAACCCAGCGCTCACCTCGACATCTACGTAGCTGCCGGGCCGCTCGCCGCGAATCTTCTGGCCGCAGTCGTCGATCCAGGACCGGGAGCCGTAAATGGCCGTCATGGGCACCTGAGGGTCCACCTGACCCACGCGCCGGATCATCGGGTTCTTGGCCCAGCCGAAGTCGCTGCTCAGAGTGTGGAAGGCCACCTCACCGCTGAGGGAAAAGGAGAAGAGTCAGTATGCCAGTCAGGTGCTGCCATCTAAGAGGATGTGTGGCCTAGCCTAAGCGAAGGGTACTGCCATCTAGTGGTGAAGTGGTGATACGATTCTGCGAGACCATCAAGGGCAAAAGACAGCGCTAAATCATATACTTTGAAGAAAACTCTTACAAAGAAGGCCACATAAATGAAATGACAAGCTTGAGTTGACCATAACTGATTCGATTAAAAACACGAATCACTTTAACTTTTGGAAATGCCGCATCAACAGCGCTGTAACTGTGCACCCTCATCATCCATTATCCATCACATTCACAGCCCACCACTGAAAACCTAACCACCGTTCCGTGCTTCTATCCTCAGGATACTGAAATCCTTCTCCTCCACGCCGCAACGCCCCTCCGGACTGGACAGGCAACTTTATCTCATGCGGGCTGCTCCCTTGGAGCGGCACCGCTGCTCTCGAGGGAGCGCACCCCATAGCCGGGTGCAGTGAGTGCCTTGGGGCTGGGTGGCTTGTCCTCTGGACGGGCTCAGCCCCGGCGACTCACTAGGGTGCCTGCCCAGACCAATGTCTCCCCCTATATCCTATCATCCTCCCGGCTCTGAAATGGTCTCATTGGACCGAAAGGGCCTAACCCAACAAAACAAAACAAAACCAAACCACACCGTTCCGTGCTTCTATCCTCAGGATACTGAAGTCATTTTCCTCCACGCCGCAACCCCACTCCGGGCTGGACAGGCACCTTTATCTTATGCGGGCTGCTCCCTTGGAGCGGCACCGCTGCTCCCGAGGGAGCGCACCCCGTAGCCGGGTTCAGAAAGTGCTTAGGGGGCTGGTTGGCCTGTCCATTCAGACGGGCTCAGCCCCGGCGACTCTCTAGAGTGTCTGCCCAGACCAATGTCTCCCCCTAATTCCTATCATCCTTCCGGCTCTGAAATGGTCTTGTCAGACCGAAAGGGCTTAACCCAACAAAACAAACAAACAAAGAAACCCTAAGCCACCCACCCCTCTCCCCCAGTTAAAGAGCTTCGCCACCCACCTGGGCGTCTGTGCGTTGCAGTGGTAGATGTAGTTGGCCATGTAGTTGGTACCTGGCGGGCTGTGTACCATACCGGAGAACTTCTTCATCAGGTCCGGGCGCGCCTTGGCGATCATTGTGGAGCCTGAAGCGAGAGCGGAGTAGGCATGGTTAGAGTGGAGCTAGAACAGCTGCGTAGTTACCGATTAGCGGGGACGGAGGGACGGATTAGCTGCAGAAGAAGATGCAAAATCAGAGGCCCCTAGTGTTGGTTACGAGCTGGTATGGGTAAATGATGTAATCTTTAAAATATGCTCTACTACCGTTCGTCCAAACACTTTCACTCAGTTCCATATCATTGATTTCTCCAGCTTCCACCCAAAGCTTCCATGAAGAAGTGCCGCGTAAACTTCACAGAAATCCTTCAACGTATTCTCCACTTTAATGCACAGAAGTCAGCGAGTGGTTGACTATCAGTGTTTTACAACACTGTCCCTTTACCCCACTTTCTCTCCTCCACTCACCCCATCGCCCTCCGAGTCTCAGCACGGACAGCGGGTTCATCAGCTTCACCACAGAGAGCACTCCTCGGACGATCAGGGGGATCCGCAGACGGTAGGCCTCGTTGGAGACGGGCTCAGAGAAGCCCCACGGGTCGGCGAGAACCAGGTGCTCCAGTCTGTGGGGAGCACAGGGGAGGGAGGGGAGTCAGAATACCCACGGGTCGGCCAGCACCAGGTGCTCCAGACTGTGTAGCACACGAGAGGAGGTCAGAACGATCTGGGGTCATGTCATCTGGGTCATCGCCTTGTAATCCTCATGTTATCTTCATGCGATGTCATCTACACAGAACCTATTACATAGTAAAGTAATCTTGCACAGAACCAAAATCCTCGGAAGCCAACCATTTCGTACCATACAACTTTCATACCATATAACCATTTCCTGGATAGTAATCAACCCCGTCCACAATTCAGCAATCTTTCGCCCAATCATTATAAACCTATCCCCACATCCGCCAAAATTGCCCGGTTACCATGACTCAGCACCCCCTCGTGTCACATCACCTGACGTCACCAGCGCGTGACATGCGCCCCACTCACCGCTCCGGGTACTTGAGCGCGTAGGCACAGCTGAGGAAGCCACCCATCGAGTGACCGAGCAGGATCATACGGTCAATGTTCATCTCCTGGCGCCACTTCTCGATAGCCTGGGGGCAGATAAACGCCACAAGGTCAAGACCTACGAGCGTCGCTTAATAAAGAGATGGTGAAGACTGAAGGTAGTGCATGCACCGACATGGCAGGGGACCCCCGTTTGCACCGTGTACGTGAGCTTTTAGTTGAATGTGTGTCTGCACTTAATTCTGCAGTTTATCCATTCGTTTGACAACAATTGATTTCAGCTTCGATTTACACAGGCAGTGAGCAGCCCTAACAACGCTGTATGTTATACAATACAATACGGCAGGCGGTGGAAGGCACTGTAGCAGGCAGCGATAGGCGGGCCGGGACAGAAGCACCCACCACAGGTCAATCGATAGGGTCCTACAAGGTCAGGTATACGCTGGATCAATGCGGACAGTCGGCGCGCGACCGGATACTATCCATGGATGCAGATTGCAGAGCTGAGCCAACAGCGCCACTAATGGATTCGGGATAGAGAGGAATAGACCACTGAGACAGCAACACGGGAGGAGTGGATAAACTCGGGTGTCGGTAAAATTAGCCGCTCGTCTGCTGACAACCAAAGTTCTGGAAATGCTGCAGCTTGCAAGTCATGCCAACAGGCGGATCTTTTCCAGGATAGTCTAGCGAGTGTAGCAGACGGAGACGCTCTATGTATAAGATGGAGGATCTCTATGTGCAATAATTGGTAAGGAAGGATTGTGCTTTTACCATAATGAAACATAATAACCATTAAGATCGACGGCAAAAGGCGTTGAGACCGCCTAGTTTTTACCGACCAATTCCTGGAGCCTCAAGGTCAACGGGTCCATCGGGCGGACAGCCAGAGTCAAACCCAAACAATTATCCCGTCATCCACTGCCCAGCATTGGTCGGGGACAGCAAACTCCAGTAGAAGGCCGGGCTCGGGCACATATGTTAACTTCCCTGCCAACATCCCACCGTCCACACATTCTCACATCGACCTTCCTAGCCATCGGCAGTGACGTCAAGCGGACTCAGGACGGCGTTACGTAACGCCCCTCCCCTTCCCCTCACACTAACATCGCCACGGCACCGGCCGCCAGCGGCCCGGCGGCGGCGGCGGCGGCGGCGGCGGTGGCGGTGGCGGCGGTGGCGGTGGCGGCGGTAGAGGTGCATGACTGCGCAGAAATGATCTCCGACGCGACCGACCGACCGGTCGGCCGGCATCGAGCGGGCGGATCGAGTCAGGTGGACTGAGCGTGTGAGAAACACTGCCTAGGCTGGCGTCCAGGCAACAGGTATAAGAGGTTAAACTTGGCAACAGGTACGCCGAAGGCGAAGCTGCCAAAACTGGCAGAGTGCATCAGCACTAGATGTGAGGACATTGAAAAGATAATGGAAGGATTAAAAATGATGAGAGGGACTGCAAGTCCTTAGTTCTCATCCATGATAACATGGAAAGGCCGGTCCAGAAGCCCCACCAAAGACCCAAGACCGAAATCAGCGAGAGGGCCGTCTCAACAATGCTAGCTCAGCATTTATCAATATCCGACGAGTCTCATGACATTGTGAATCATCGGGCATGCATGAATCTCAATGGATGTACACAGCACGAAATTTGGGACAAGCACTATGAATATGGTGATACCGTTGCATACATGAACATTCTCAATCGCACCCAATGACCCCACCCAGCTGGGTATTGGGTGAGGGTTTGGTGGGTTCAGAAAAGCGGCTATAGAAAAGAGAGGGGACCAGCTTACCTCCACATACTGTGATTCCACCTCCATGGCGTCTTTGCTGAACTCGGGACGGGACGAGCGGCCGAACCCTGCCGGAAGTGAACAACATCCGGTCAGTGGGGGCGCTATAGTCACAACATCGGTGCACAACAGGCAACGCCAGCAAGAAGAGCATGCTGTCCGTGAGATCAATCCTGTGCTTGTGCATGAGCGTTATTGATGGCTGAGAAGTTCTTGAAAGCACGTTCTTCATAAGTAATTCATGAAGAGTGCAATGGCATATACATGAGCCAAGTGAAATAAGTACAAATACATTTACATGCGAAATTCGCTTCAACACTCTGGAAGGCGAACAATTAGCAACACATTTTATTCTAAAAATTAATGTATAAGATGAAGCAGCAGCACATGATCGTCACATTGCTAGGACCGGCAGTCCTTTTCCGCTGCGTCAGAAGTACAGTCCAAAGTCCATGGCACAGCGTCCGCCGTCCAGGATCCAATGACTGAACAACACGTGGTCAGGACGTTCACACACATGAGTCACGATTGCTCAGCGTTCTCGACGGCAGTGCAAACTCGGCACGGTCGGCCCATCGCACTAAGAAGTTGAATTTGAGAAACATGGCGATTGGCGATGTTAAACTACAACTGGCACGACTAATTCCTGATGTGTTGTGTGAGCTGCTTTGTGTTGTGAGGTGGTTTGCAGTCAACTGTCACGCAATAAATCTGATTTAGCTTCCCTCGGAAAATCAACGAAGATAAATCGGAGGCACAGACAGGCTCTTTTAACCCACCATCAAAGACAAAGAAAGACGGACGTCCACGCTACGTCACCACCAAAAACTTTCATTCGATAAAAATGACACGTCTCCCCCAGTTCCAACCACGCGTGCACCTTGTCTGTCCGTCCTTGCCCCATCCCCTAGCTCCATCCACTCGTCACAGCCCCTCGAAGCGTCGACCGCTCCCTGCGTACGGCCGTCCGAACCGTACTTCGGTCAGGGGGACAAAGGTCGAGACACTGCCAGAGAGCTCCTGACCGTCCCGCGACGTGGTCCTACCGCTACCCACCGCGTACCCTACGAGTCTGACCGAGGGGCTCTGATAAGGGGTCTGATAAGGCTTCGTCACCCGCCGCAGCCCGCTGTTCCTTGGGGGTGAAGATGAGGTAAGATGGTCTGTGATGATGAAACGTCCCCGACGCAATTCCTAGGGGTCACGGTACGCTAAAACTGGCACTGATACTGAACAGCCCCCCCTCGCTTTTCCCGGGGGTACAGTCGGGTAAGATTGGTATTGATACTGTGCAGTGTGCACTGTGCAGCCCCCCCCCCCCCTTCACTATTCCTAGGGGGTCATAGTGGGGTAAGACTGGCACTGATGCTGTGCAGTCCCTTGACGTTATCATCAGTGTCACGGTGGGCTGATATGGACTCTGATAACGTGCCGTACTCGACCACTATGCACAGGGTTACAGTGGGCTGATATTGACTCAGATAACGTGCCGAACTCTGCCACTGTGCACAGGGTTACAGTGGGCTGATATTGACTATGATAACGTGCCAAACTGTGCCACTGTGCACAGGGTTACAGTGGGCTGATATTGACTATGATAACGTGCCAAACTGTGCCACTGTGCACAGGGTTACAGCGGACTGATATTGACTATGATAACGTGCCAAACTGTGCCACTGTGCACAGGGTTACAGCGGACTGATATTGACTATGATAACGTGCCAAACTGTGCCACTGTGCACAGGGTTACAGCGGACTGATATTGACTATGATAACGTGCCAAACTGTGCCACTGTGCACAGGGTTACAGCGGACTGATATTGACTCAGATAACGTACACTACTCTACCACTGTGCACATGGTCAAGGCGTGCCAGCATCAGAATTGATAAGCTCCTGTTCCTGCTGCTACCGTCATTGTGGTATCTATCATGCTGAGGAGGACTATGATATAACGCAGTTACTGGTGAACTCTGGCCAGTGCGACCGTGCTGGGTTCGTGGATTCGAACGGCAAGACTTGATGAGCGCACGACAGAGTAGTGAGTAGCTAATAACGCGGACTTGGTGGATAAGGAAACTGGGTAGGCAACCATGCTCTTATACATATAGAGCTGGTGCGTTCGCATAGAACCAATGCCCACACATGGATACAAGATTGACGGAAATAACAAAAATGACATCTATTGTAGAAATCAGATTCTTAACGATAAACGCTTAATACCATAATGGCCACTATGTCTAAGGTACGGCAATTGTCGATGGCTTTTGATAGGAAATTTATACCACAAATACAGACATACGCACGCTAAGATTTTTCAAGGCTGATGACCAAGCCTAAAAAGTCGCAATATTGCACAATCCATAATTTCATTCAAATAAAGGCATAACCGAGCCCCACAAAGCACTACTGGGGATCCCGTAAACACAGCCAGCCAGAGTTTGACGGGCTGACGGTTTGACAGATACGAACTGCAGTCGGTACGTCAGCAGAGATATGGCAGCAACGCAGCAGGCTCAAACATGTGACGGTGCAGACAATAACACGCCCTAGTCTCCGACAAAGCCTCTCAGGAAAACGGTGCTTACTGCATAACCATCAATGGTTTAGTTCCGATTCACTAGTGAGACGTAAATATTTCTCACGAGTGAATTTAGCGGTCACGTCTCTTGATGGGTCAGAAGTTCACGTGACCTTTTCACAAAATACTCGCAAAATCTACGAGCCTGGCCCTTGAAATAGTATCGTACCCAAGCCGCCTAGCTATGGCTCTCACATCGTCCAGAACCTTTCCAACTCCAGCCGTCCCAGCCCCGTGTAATGGCCGTGCTCAATGATCGGCCAGAGTACACGACCCGTCCGTACAGGCGCACTCTGGGCCATTCCACTCAAGTGGCCCGAATTGAGTCAAGTAGTGCTCACCCGTTCCTCCGGGGGGGGGGGGGGGGCAGTAACGCTGCGCCGGCACGGAGACTGTCCACTCTACATTCTGGAGGTTTCGGGTTGCTAGGTGACTGAATGTGAAACACGCGCCGCGAAAGCACACGTGGTGAACCAGACAGAAGCAAAAAGAGGATATTGTGAATAGCCTTACGCTAAATGCCTCCATAGCACCATCAATTCGGCGGTTTTCGACCGGGCGACGGTCAAAAACTTATGACCGACTCGAAATCCTACTACCAGTGCCCTTCCATTTCACGATATACAAGCTCACTTCTATCCCACACAGGCAACAGAAATCCGCAAGCCCACAGCTTCCCTTCCCATTTTCTACTCACCAAGGTTGTCAAAAGCGTAGACGGGCCTGTTGGCAGCCAGCGCATCATAATTGAGGCACCAGAGTCCGACACCGGAGGCGAATCCGTGCAGCAGCACCAGGGGCACCTCTTTGGACTCCTCGTTGAAGGCGACCGTCCACAGCCGGTTCGGTTTGCGGCCCACCACAGGTCCGATCTCCACGTAGAACGAACGGTGGGGCCGGGGCACGACTGGGGACCGGGGAGAGCGGGTCACTTTAAATAACACCGAAAACAAGCTCGAAAGAAAAGAAAAAAGACTACAAAATATTAAGAGATCGGGGATAAATACTTCTTTCAACAAACTACCAGAATGTGAACACATGAAAAAATAGCTCAACGGGTCACAGAAATCAAGTATCTTTATGTCGATTCACGTCCAATGCGTTTATATTGCTCGTCCTCGGAACTATGCGACAGTGGGGTACTCACATTTGAGGATGTTCTTCTCGGCGTCCCGGACGTGTTTGAACGAGGTGGGGTTCCAGCGGATAGCGTCCGGCAGCCAGCTGAAAAAATCGAACACCTGGTGTAAAGCTTCGGATACAACACCACAAGACGCGTATGTAATGCCACCACGTAGCAAGTCGAAAGATGAGAAGCTAGCCGTCAGCCAAGTAGTTTTTAGACAATATTTTGCACAGCCGTTTCGATCGCTGCCACATACATCTCAGGGTGAAAATATCACAGACGCCCACCGCCCTTCCAGTCAACACCCATTTGGAATGAACCCATCCCACTCACCAGCCGTGTTCCTCCTCCATCTTCTGTTCGGCCAGCGCCAGAATCTCCTCCTCCGTGAGCGGCTGTTCGGCGGGCACCGCGGCTCTGGCGCACAGACAGAGAGAGCAATGGATTCAGAAACACAGAGAGGAGAAGGTATGTAAGACTCGTCAGACTGTCAGCGGCTGATCGGCGGACACCGCGGCTCTGGCACACATGGAGGGCACAGGGAATGTCAGAAACATAAAGTGCCACTAGAGTAGGCACGGAACACGTGGGGAGACTTGAGCGGACGCCATGGCTCGAAACACATACGAAAGGAGGAGACAGTTGAGCACACAAGGAGAAAATTCACGCGTGAATATGGGACGGCAAAGCTGGCACTGGGAACTTGCAGGGGAGAGGGAAGAGACTGGGCGAGGTAAGCACAAGACAACTTAGGTTCATCGTGATTATTGCTACAGATACCTCATTACACCTCTATGGTGAGCCACAAACCCACAATCAGGGTCACTGCACTCACTGAGGCATCGTGTACGATCACGGCGTTCCGGTGTAAGCACCAACCAGATAGCGCACGGTACGAAGTGATCACGGTTCCTGTGCGTCTGAGAGCCGAAACACTCGTCCTCAGTCGCTCACAACCACCCGAGCACGGAGACGATCGCCACAAGACTGACAAATCAGCTCAACATCTTCCCGGGCGAGCTTAGAAACCACTCTGCTCAAGATAACGCAGGGACGACAAATACGCGTCGGGCTATGATAAGACGGGCGACGGGACCCGGTGTACGGATAAATATAGAGGGGAGAAGGAAGGGAACGGACCTGATTGGCAGCAGTGTCGACATACTACATAGAATGAAGTAACGCGACTGGGGGTAGATTGTGATAGGAGAGGCAGATGACAAAAAGGGCTCAAACTCCAGTAGCGGTGACCCGCGGGAGGGGACGATGACCGGCGTCACAGGCTGGGGTATCCGGGAAGCTGAAAAGTGCAGAAATAGCCTGCTAAACGGATGACCGTGAGATAACTTGGTAACTACTACAGTCCAGTTTAACCAGTACTATCTAACGCCGTCAATCAAACCAGTTGAAGGATTTTGGGCGAATAACGAGCGAGCGCAATAATGAGTCTGCACGTGCGAGCGTGTAAAGTGGGGCTCTCAACTGCTTTGTGTGGGCTACCCTTCCAATCTGCCGCAAACAGCGTGCCTACTGCAGCGAGTTCGGCTCAGCCGTTCTTGAGATGCAAAAGCGGCCCTCTGCGCGTTCGCACATAAAAAAGGATCACCCCATCCAACCAAATTGTGTGGGTCTGGGGTCACCGTTCTAACTCGTCCCCGACCCCCAGCGGTGAAACAGGAATAAACTGCAGCGTCGATTTGAGTCCGAGTCGATTTGTTTGATGTCGGAGTCGAGGTTGTTGCATCGAAAACCAGTCGACTCTGCGGCACTGGTTTGCATTTTCCCAGCTCATGTGCCTCATTCCTATCCTAGTAAATTGGCAATGGCAGACTGCTACCCTAACTGCACATTAGCACTCGTGATGGTCCCAAAACCCGCACCTCTACCGATCGACCAATCCCGAGTCGCGGGTCGCCGCCGGTCACGTGTCATGACCTCGCCCCACACCGGCTCGGCTAGGTCATGATACACGTGCCGCGCAGTTCTGTACCGACCGCGAGCGTGTGCGTATTGCAGTGTGTTCGAGACGTGAGTGCATGAGTGGTGAGCAGGGGAGCATTGGGCAGTGGGGACTGGGAACCAGAACAGCACTTGCTACTACCGATGTCAGCACTTGCGAATACCGTTCGCCATCTTGGTCATCAGAAATCAGAATCAATCCTGATCCATTCCATTCGTGAACTTGATTACACCAGTTTGGAGCGACCGTTTTCCACCAGACAACTCATGGGCAGTGGATAACAGATGCGAAAGGCGCATATCCCGAGCGGTGATCGCTTGAGCGTGCAAGTGGCCTCTCCCACCGGGGCAATACCTCTCTTACGAGATGAGCTGCGGTTAGCCACTGAGACGAATCAGTCTGTCATAGGACATCGACTCAAGTTCCACCTCATGTTCCTAGCTCCCATATGGCCTATGCTACCAACTAACTTGGTTTTCAACAATTCATCATGTTTGCAGGGCTGCGGAGTCTGAGTAAGAGTCTGTCGGAGCGGACACTTCTGCCAAAGTCGGAGTCGGAGCTATCGCTGCATGGCTCAACGTCATGTCCTGTCCATGTTTGCTTGACGATACTACGCTTGTTGACCTTTCGGAATAAGCTTTTGTTGAAAAAGGTCATATTCCTGTTCTGAACAAGCGTTTTCAGCGAAAGAAGCAGAATACGGCAGATTCGCCAGAACCTGCTTCTAATTCTGCATGTTCTTCATAAAGTACCTATTTGTGCAATGTAAGACCTTGGAACGCACGAAGGATCGTTTCAGGCTAATGAAAGCCTAACCAGTATTAACTTTTTGATCCTGAAGTGGATTTTAAGAGAATCGTCCGGAGTCGGAGCCAGAGTCGGGGTCGATTTTTTTTTTAAGCCGAAGTCTGAGGCCGAGTCGGAGTTACCCGAAAATCCATCGGCTCTGCAGTTCACAGCCTGCAGGTTGAAGGTAGGTAGGTACTTACCCCATTATCGGTCGGGAAACGAAAAGCCGGTTGAAATAAAATATCAATCGGTCGAGCATCGGAGGCAATCTGTGGAACAAAAAAAAGTACGATAAATGACTGAAGCACCAACACAACACTCGATGAGACCAGCCCCTGTACTGTACTTGAACGTTGAGACAAAGCCATTCAGTGTTTGGCACAAGAATGTTGATGACAATATTTGTTAAATATGATTAAATATTGATATAATGTGAGTTCTTTATTCCGCGTCTGCGATTGCGCGCCCACTTGGCGCACAGCCAAGCAAAACACATCCGCGCCCTGCGCGGGCCGGCGGCCGACTGCCGCACAACCGGCGACCGGTTTCCACCTGGCGGTCGCTAACTGAACTACGCGTAGCCAGGCTCACGATACAACACCCTGCCCCCCTGGATTTGAGTTCGAACATCGAACTATCAAACATAACTTACTCAACCTACGAGCCACCACAAACTAGTCAAATCCAGTCCGGTCACTTACAGCGTCAACACTGCCGCCTATTTTAGTGCGATCACTGACATCGCTCACATCCGTGCGATACGAACATAACTACAAATTCACTGACTTTAGAGTCGCGCACGTCTGCCCTTACACTGCTTATCAGTCTGTACTTCCAAACGATAATAACTAATCAGTCATCACCCTTCTCGGCGGTACAAATTGACCCACACTTTCCCTGGCCAATCACATCTGTTATCCACCTTATCGGTGGCACCTATTGACACACGGAATCACATATTCTTCCGCTCGATCCTTCCGCCCGATCACATCTCCGTAAAATCACGTATTTTCCCACCCGATCACATCTCAGTTATCCACCTCCTCGGTGGCTGAGAGTGACGCACGGATAACCGCCGCCGCACCTCTGCCGGCGGTCCTTTACAATCGCCGCCGCGCGCGCCATGTCCTGTCCCACCGGCGCCGCTCACCACTCCCGGCGAAGCGTTAGGCTTGCTACCGCGCGCGCCGCCGGTCCCACCAGCACCGCTCACCGCTGCCGGCGGTCCGTCAGTAGCGCCACCGCGCGCGCAACCTGTTCCTTCGGCCTCGCTCACCGTCTCTCCACCGCTCGCCCGAGGGCGACCAGCCCGATACAGATCCGCTGCGTCGCCGCTACACTCTGTGAATCCGCTCGCTGGGGGTGTCACCACTCGGCTGTCTCCACCGTCGCCTCCGCTGGCGCCGGCACCGGCCCCGCCGATCGCCCCCGGTACAGCCGACCTGATGCCTTCACTGGAGATCCTGCCGGCAGCGCCGGGCGGCGCCGGCACGGCCGTCCTCGCGCCGCCGCTGGCGCCAGCACCGGGCTCGCCGAGCGCCGCTGGCACGACCGTCCCGGCGGCGGCCGCCCGCTGGCCGGTCCGCACTGGCTCCGCGCTGATGAGTTGATCGACGTGCCGCGACCAGAGAGCATCGGCAACAGCTATCTCATACGACACCGGTCCGGTCCGTGCGGCCACCGTCCCCAGTCTCCACTTCTGCGGGCCGCTGTAACATCTAGCCCACACCGTGTCTCCGATGTTCAGCTCCCTGTGCCGGCCGCCTGCCGCCTCCCGTTGCCGTTGCTGCTGATCCCGAAACCTGTCCATCGGATCGGGCCGCAGCGTATCCAGCCGCGTCCGCACGTTCCGGCCGAACATCATTTCGGCTGGCGATCGTCCCGTGCCCGAGTGCGGTGCCGCCCGGTAGGCCAGCAGAAACTTCTGCAGCCGCTGTGACAGAGAACCACCATCCCGCAGGGCCGCCTTCAGTCCGTTCTTGGCCGTTTGCACCGCCCGCTCCGCCGCTCCGTTGCTGCTTGGGTGATATGGTGCCACCCTGACGTGCCGCACTCCATTGTTGCTCAGGAATGCAGCGAACGGAGCAGAGGTGAACTGAGCACCATTATCCGACACGAGTTGGCGGGGGATGCCGAAACGCGCAAACATCGCCCGCAGCTCTCTCACAGTGCTCTCTGTGCCCGTCTCTCGCATCGGGATCACCTCCAGCCACTTGGTATAGCTGTCGCACACCACCAGAAAGTTCAAGCCCTGGAAGGGGCCCGCATAGTCTATGTGGATACGCTCCCACGGGCCTCCGGCCGGCTCCCACGGGTGCCGATCACTGTGGGGCGGCGCTCCTCGCTTGTCCATGCACTCTGCGCAATCGCGTGCCGCGCCCTCGAGCTCTGCATCCAGCCCCGGCCACCACACATATCGCCGAGCCAAGTTTTTCATTTTTGAGCTGCCAAGGTGCCCCTCATGCAGCTCACGCAGCACCCGCGCCCGGAGCTGCTGTGGGATGACAGCACGGCCGCCCCACACGAGACACTCGCCATCCGTCGACAGCTCGTCCTGGCGCCGCTTGAAAGGCACCAGCTCCGGCTCGACCTCAGCCGGCCAACCGCACCGGACGAACGTTAGCACCCTGGCCAGCACTGGATCGCGCCGCGTTGCTGACGCAAGCGCCTCTGCCGTCAGCACCGGCGCCGCGCCGTCCATGTAGCACAGGAAGCTGACGTCGGCTCCTTCTCTGTCGATCTTCTCTCGCTCGACACCCGAGCACGGCATGGCCAGGCGCGACAGACTGTCGGCCATGTGCATGTGCTCGGACCGGCGCAGCTCCACTGCGTAGCTGTACGCCGCCAGCTGCAGCGCGTACCTCTGGAGGCGGGCAGCCGCCAGGCTCGGCAGGTCTCTGTCCGGGCTCAGGATCCGGGATAGAGCCCTATTATCCACCACGAGCGTGAAAGGCCGCCCGTACAGGAACCGATGGAAGCGGGTTATCCCGAATGACACCGCCGCTGCCTCGCGCTCGACTTGTGGGTACTTCCTTTCTGTGGGCGTCAGCGTCCGTGACGCATACATCACCGGCCTCTCCGCCCCGTCCGGTGTCACGTGAACCAGCGCCGCGCCGACACCCACACTGCTGGCATCTGTCACGAGCCTCAGCGGCAGGTCCGGGTCATACCGCATCAACACCGGCGGGCTAGTCAGCATCCGTTTCACCTTCTCCACCGCCTTGGCGCACTGCTCTGTCCATGCCCACGGCACGCCCTTCTTGGTCAGCTGATAGAGCGGCGCCAGCACTGTCGACAGATCGGGCAGCAGACGCCCGAAGTAGGTGATGGAGCCCAGGAGCGACCTCAGTTGGCTGACGTCCGTCGGCTCCGGTGCCTGCAGCACTGCTGCTACACCGCCGTCAGTCGGTGCGATGCCCTCAGCCGTCACCTTCCACCCCAGGAACTCGACTTCTGGCACCGCCAGCTGGCATTTCTGCGCCGCCAGCCGCAGGCCCTGCCGCTCCAGTCTTCCGAGGATCTCGTCCAGCCGCTGCAGCAGCTGTTGCTCGTCCGCTCCGAACACCAATAGGTCATCCAGGTAACACCGGCATCCCTCCTGTCCTTCCAGGACCCGGTCCATGGCCTCCTGGAAGAGGGCACCGGAACTGGCGACCCCGAACGGCAGTCTCTTCATGACGAATTCGCCCTTGTGAGTGCTGACGGTCGTCATTGCTCGAGACTCCTCATCGAGCGGCATCTGCTGGTACGCATGCTTTAGGTCCAGCTTGCAGAACAGCTTGCCACTCACCCCTGCGAACACATCTTCCGGCTTCGGCAGCGGGTGGTGCTTGACGATCAGCTGCGGGTTCACTGTGAGGTTGTAGCTCGCACAGAGCCTCACCCCGCCTCCCGGCTTCGGCACCGGAACCAGTGGCGTGCCCCAGCCTGTACTGGTTTCGGACGGGTCGACCTTTCTTGCTATCCCGTCTCTGACCCATCGGTCCAGCTCGGCCTCCACTTGCGGCAGCAGCGCGTACGGTACTGGTCGCGGTGGTAGCCGCCGCGGCACCGCGTCCGGCTTTAGGGTCAGGTGCGCGCGCTGCTCCATCGTGCCGAGGCCCCCTGCAAACACTGCTGCGTGCGCCGCCGTCACTGAGCTCAGCGTCCGCCCGCCGCTCACTTTGCTGGCCTCGCTGACCTGCAGCAGCGACCGCCAGTCCAGACGTATTTCACGCAGCCAGTCGCGCCCCAGCAGCGGGTGGTGTCGGAGCTGACCGCTGACAACCACGTTCAGCCGCTTCCGCTGGCCGCCATACTCCGCCTGCACGGTCGCCTCGCCGCGGACCGGCACCGGCTGACCCGTGAACGAGCGTAGCTGCATCTTGGACGGTCTCAGCTTCAGTCCCGGGATGCTGCCGTCCGCCACGATCGACACTGGTGACCCGGTGTCAACCAGCATCTCAGTCTCCCGGCCGTTGACAGACAGAGTTACCAGTGGCAGCCGGTCCTGGCTCGTCAGCTGCGCCACCGTCATCACGACATCCTCCTCCACGGACGCCACCTGTCCGATTCCTGGACAGTCCCGCTTCAGGTGTCCAGTTCTGCCACATTTGAAGCACCTCCTCTTCTCGAGCGGTCCGCCGCGTCTGCTGTCTCGCCGACCGCCGTCTGCCGGGCCGGGCGGGCGAGACACTCCGCGCTGCTGCACCGCTCCTGCCACCGGAGGGCGCGCCCTCTCCGGCGCCGAGTCCGCCCTGGCCGTCGGACAGTCCCGCCGCCAGTGTCCCCGGCCTCCGCAGCCGAAGCACGAGCCCGGTCCCGGGCGCTCGGCCGGCCTGGCCGTCTCCGCCCGCCGCTGGCGTCTCACCACCTGGACTGCCTCCCCGTCCGTCGCAGCCGGTACCGGCGCCCCTGACAACCGAGTCGTCAGGTCCATGACGTCCCGGTGGGCGCGTGCCGTCCGCCGGACATCCTCCAGGTTGAGTTCGTCGCCCTTCAGTGCCGCTTCCCTCACCAGCTTCCGCTGCAGCTCGCCTCGGCTGCCCAGGACGCAGCGGTCTCGCAGCTCCCGGTTCACCTGCGCCGGCTCGTAGCCGCAGCGCAGGATTTGGGTCCGTAGCCTGGCCAGGAACTCCTCCAGGCTTTCCTCCGGCTCCATTGTCATTCCTTGGAATTTCCCTCGTTCAGCCACGACGTTATTCCTTGGCACCAGGTACCGTACCAACTTCCTTTTTAGCCGGGTGAACTCGTCTTCCTCCGGTCCTTCTGCCTCCTCTTCCGGCAGGGAGTCGCTGACATCGGCTATGTCAGGCCCCACCAGGTGTAGCAGCACGGCGCACCGTCTGGTAGGCCCTTGGATGTCCATGGCGACCATGTAGCGCTCCAACGCTCGCAGCCATTTCTCGAAGTCCGTGCCTGCCCGGTACGGCCCCGCAGACACCAGCTGCATGCCCGTTGGATCCATCACGCTGCCGTGCTCTCACCAGCGCGTCGTTCCTCCGGCCGGCCCGCCGCCGCTCCACCGGTCGGCCCGCCGCCGCTCCACCGGTCGGCCCGCCGCCGCTCCACCGGTCGGCCCGCCGCCGCTCCACCGGTCGGCCCGCCGCCGCTCCACCGGTCGGCCCGCCGCCGCTCCACCGGTCGGCCCGCCGCCGCTCCACCGGTCGGCCCGCCGCCGCTCCACCGGTCGGCCCGCCGCCGCTTCACCGGTCGGCCCGCCGCCGCTCCACCGGTCGGCCCGCCGCCGCTCCACCGGTCGGCCCGCCCCGGGCATCACCGCTCACACCGGCCGGTCACCGCACACGCCGGTCGGCCACCGCTCACGCCGGTCGGCCACCGCTCACGCCGACCGTCACCGCTCACCGCGCCGCCCTGCGCCCGTCTTGGCGCTGCCGGCTGCGGTTTCCCGCGCTTTACTCGACGGGGGAGTCACGTGGTAGTGACGTCACACGCACGTCACCGCGCGCGCATGCGCACTCGTCCCGAACCGCCCGGCCGCGCGCCAGCTTCCCGCCGAAATTATCCGCTTGGGGACCAGGCACCTCAAACCGCATTGAGGCCCTCCCCGCCGCACCAATCGGCCAATCACACGCGCTGCCACAGCTGCGCGTCACCCCCGGCCGACCAATCAGCGTGCAGCACGCCGACGCATGCGCCACGCACACCACACTGCCGAGGCATCATGGCCGCCACAAATGGCGATCACATGGAAATCCTGCCACGACCACGGCCGCCGCGCGACAGACAGACTACCAGCAGCAGCGCGAAAATAAAAATACTAAGCAATACTAAGCACTAAGCATTCGTACTAAGCAACGCTTGCGCCCTCACCGTCCGTGGCCTGTCCGCCCTCGCTGACCACCGCGCACTGATCACCGGTCCGTTTCGCCATCACTCGCAATCACAGCTCCAAGGCTTCACCTTGATCTGATCCTCGTCGCCAATTTGATATAATGTGAGTTCTTTATTCCGCGTCTGCGATTGCGCGCCCACTTGGCGCACAGCCAAGCAAAACACATCCGCGCCCTGCGCGGGCCGGCGGCCGACTGCCGCACAACCGGCGACCGGTTTCCACCTGGCGGTCGCTAACTGAACTACGCGTAGCCAGGCTCACGATACAACAAATATAATAACTGCTTACCAGTAACCTTCAAAATAGCTTGTAGCAGTAGGGGAAGGTGGGGTAAGACGGCCCAGCGGGGCAAGACGGACCACCAGCCCTCCCGGCTGAACCGCTGCTGGTATCTACTGCTTTATGCACTCACTATGTTTGTTTTCCTTCGTAACAATGGCCACCTTGAGCTCATGCTGCTAGGATGCATAGCTTTTGAGTTATTGAGAAAAATGTTGTTTTTCGTCAAACCGATCTAATATTAGAGGTCTACGGGTGATTCAATTACGGCGCCTTTCTTGCATGATTAGTTTCTATTTTGCACTTAACTGTGAAGAACAAAGTTATAAACTTAGTTATAGTCACACTTTAGGAAAGGCAAGGTTTTGCAATGTTGGGCTATTTGACATATACGTCATGATAATGACAGAATTTAGATTTGGGGCAAGACGGACCACTGTGGTCCATCTTACCCTGTGGTGGTCCATTGTACCCTGCATATGGAAAGTTCTTTTCCAAAACATTGACACAAGTTTAAGTAAGCTAATTTTTCAGGAAGGAGTCTTTGTTGCATGTGAGCCATGCATGCAAGTGCTCAGTTAGCATGCATTCATGCCAAACGACAATCAACACACATGTTCCCAGCTTTTAGCTGCACTTCCATCACACATGAGTAAAGAATAAAGGTTCATTTTGTTATTTTACCATTCTGGTTACTTTTTCTTACAAGAGTACAGAGCAGAAGTGTAATACACATGAACGGATAGCAGGCACTGCTGGGTGGTCCGTCTTACCCCACGTTTTTTCTTGTCTGAGTTTTTGACATGTCCCTCTTTAAGAGCATTCACCACCTAGATGTCTTTAAGTTGAAATTTAGTCTTTACACATATCAACAGAGGAAGGATTGAGTATTCCGAAGACTATAAATAATATGAATTACGAGAGCAGTGTAGCAAGATATACGGCCTCAAACCTTAGCTGGTCCGTCTTACCCCACCTTCCCCTATTGCATCGCCACATGTCAGATGATAAATTGAAATGAATGACATGTATGACCTTGCATGTCATGACCTTGACTTTGAAGAAGCCTTACAGGTTGGTTATGGCGGTTAAAATCAATAAACACCAACTAATTCGCTTTCGACTTGGAAGTACGGAACACCCATATTATGAAAAGAAACAAAAATGTCCGCGAAATTCGATAAACTACGTGTAAATTCGACGAGCACAAGAAGAGTGAGATGTGATCCATTTGTCAATCAATTGAAAACAGCTGAAGATTGAGATTGAGATAGCCAGTGTTTTGGATTCCGAGACCCAGCATTACAAAAGGTACAGCCTATCAAACAAATGAACTCACCAGTAAACGCCAATGATGTCCACGCGAGACGCGACGAGCAGCACAACCAACCTCCCCGAACTCTCGACGTCAACTACCAAATTTTGTAAACAAATCAATGCTTCACTAAGAATGTTCTGACATTAGTTTGAGAGAAGACCGCTAGGTAGTGAGCTCGGGTCGCCAGGCAACATGCTGATAAACCGCCTTCATCAAAGCGAGTTGCTAGGGAACCCTGAGTTCGGATATGATCAGCATTTGGTTGAACAAATCCTAACAGTTGACTCAAAAGTATTTTACTGCTAAAACTAGCAAGGCTAAAATTTTGCCGATTTCTAGCATAATGACGCATTCGAAGATAAATTTGCTATTTTAACGTTCTTTGTGAATGAATTACAAAAAGTTTTGTTCATTCAACTAGCAGAAATACATGAACGTAAATATGGAGGCTTGCTTTTGTAGTGCAGTGTTTTTTTGTCGTTTTGCAACTGGTTCAACTCCTGCGCATGTGGGACGAACTAAACGTTTTTTGCAACATGCATGCCGCGCACTGCCGCGTCAAGGCCAATGTTTTCTGCCGGCAGTACGACGTACACCCCGTCGCGAGATTTTTAACAAATATAAGAATTTGTTAGGACTTAGGAGGCAGTTTCGTGGGAAAGTTTCATGCAAGATTCCTAAGGAGACTCCCTTTTCCTCATCTCCAGCTCTGTGTCTGATTGATCACATCAGTACTTTCAAGGTAAGATATTGCAGGAAACTTGGTGTAAATATGAAGAGTAAGTGTTTTATAAGATGTTGTGACACTAATCAGATTGAATTAACTACAATGAAAACGCTAGGCTACTTCGGCCTCTCTGACTAACGTGTGTCGTGTGCCACATGCTGTGTAAGTGTATGCCACTTAATTTTTGGGAAATGTTCTTACCTGAGCTCTGTTCGGTCACTGTTTTTTGTCAACATCAGCATGCTGTCGGTTTTCCTATACTGCCTTCTTCATCCACAAAAAAAATATCTGCTTTCTTCACAGGACTGAGGTCATATACCCGCATATCCCTATTGTAGGTACCTAGGTATGTCTTATATTTATTGATGTCTATTGATAATACCTAGGATATTCATTCATTCATTTGTTCATTTGTGAATTATTCATTTTCATTTATTCATGAAGTCATTCATTCATTCATTCATACATACATACATGCATTCATTCATTCATTCATTCATTCATTCCTTCATTCCTTCCTTCATTCCTTCCTTCATTCCTTCCTTCATTCCTTCCTTCATTCCTTCCTTCCTTCCTTCATTCATTCATTCATTCATTCATTCATTCATTCTGTTCATTATTTCATTCATGTTTCATCCATTTGCTTGATGATTGAATACACAGGCATAGTGCATTGTGCAAACAATGATGAATGATTTGATGCTATCTGTTTTGTAGTGGCTTATCTCCTCCTTGATACTATGCTCTGCTTATTGGTGCTCTCCTCCAGCAGGTGTTTTCAGTTCCGGCCACCAGGTGTCAGTGATGTCTCGGCCGGCCCACCGGCTGGCGGCCAAGCCGCGCACGTCGGACGTGGCCGTTTCTGAGGACGTGACGTTCGCCGGCCTGCTGCTGTCGGAGCCTGTGCTGCTGGGACTGCGGAGGGCGGGCTTCGAGCGGCCGTCGCCCATTCAGCTGCGCGCTATTCCGCTGGGCCGCTGTGCTGTCGGTAGGTACCGACTACCGAACACCGGAGAACTCTGGCGACAGTTTTTGACGGGACAGATGTGGTTGGGTTCATACGATTCACGATCTTGTGTGGTTGAAAATATGTATCTAAGGCAAGTTATTAACTGTGACTTTTTCTGGTTAGATAGGCCTCTGGTAAAAAACGTAGTAGCAGGTCGCACTACCTAGCTACATAGTACCTACTTTTTTGGCCATATCATGTTCCCATTGGCCATTGCAGATGATGTTTTGTGTATGCATTGTTATTTTTCTCACTCTAGCTGACACACAGTCCACCCTCTCACTGTCACAGATCTGATCGTGCAGGCCAAGTCCGGCACGGGTAAGACGTGTGTCCTCGCCGTGCTGGCTCTGGAGGCTCTGGTAGCGGCGCCCCCATCCGGCCGATGTCGGGCGCTCGTGCTGGCGCCCACCCGCGAGGTGGCGGTTCAGGTGGCACAGGTCATCACCGCCATCGGTGTGGAGGTGCCTGGTAAGTGTTTGTGATGAGGTCAGGTGATGTTAATTGTGTGCACTGTTCGGGTTACTTGATTAACTGTTTTATCAGGTGGGCTAGCAAAGGAAAATATAACTTTTTAGGATTGGTGTTGCTGACATGAAGGTGGAATGATGCTTACCACTTTTAAATCATTCCCCAGTCAAAATGAGTCACGTATTTCCTAGAATGACACCCGCACCTTTCCATGCCTACTGTATGTACCCACCGCTCGCCCGCCCTTCCGCTCCCCTCCCTCCTACTCTCTCCGCCCATCTTCCCTGGACCGTCGCCCACTGGTACCATCCCTTCTTCTATCTTCCCCGCTCACCTTTCGGGCTCTCTCCGTAGCCCTGGCCGTACAGACTCTGATCGGTGGCCTGCCGCTGGTCTGGTCACGGGTATCATCTCTCCCTAACTCCCTTGCTTACCCGCCGTGCTTTACCCACAGGTCTGGCCGTACAGACTCTGATCGAAGGCCTGCCGCTGGCCTAATCACATATATCATCCCTCCCTCTATCCCTGCCGGTCTAACCTCTCCACCTTTTCTGCAGGTCTGGCCGTACAGATGCTGATTGGTGGCCTGCCGCTGGCCTGCTCATAGAATATGGGATCATCCCTCCGGTCTCTATCTCTGCCTGATGCCTCTAACTCTAACCTCTCCACCCTCCCTGCAGGTCTGGCCGTACAGACTCTGATCGGGGGTCTGTCACTGGCCTGGTCACGAGTATTATCCCTCCCTAACTCTCTTGCTTACCCGCCGTGCTCTACCCGCAGGTCTGGCCGTACAGACTCTGATCGGCGGCCTTCCGCTGGCTCAGGATGTGGCCAACCTGCGACGCTGCAATGTCGCCGTCGGAACGCCCGGTGAGGACTCCTAATGGGACGCTGTGGGGACGCAAGTATCCTATTTGTCTTACCCCTGACGCTACTCAGTGTTTCCTGTGTGTCTCAATTTCTCACGTGTGTCTCATTTCCCCTTGTCTCGTAAACCATGTCTCACTGGCGCTCACATGCGTCTTAAGTCTGCATGCCTCACTGACTCTTATGTATCTCAGGTCGTATTCGTCAGCTGGTGGACTGTGAGGCGCTCAACACAGACTCTGTACGTCTGTTTGTGATGGACGAGGCTGACAAGCTGATGGAAGATGCGTTCGTGGATGATATCAAGTGAGTCACTGTGTGGATAACCGTGTTGAGATATTGGTGCTTCTTTGTGATATGACAGAACATTTTGCCGAGTAGGTAATTCAATTTTTTTAGGATGTCAATATGTCGACTCCGAACTTAGAGTTCTTCCGGACATCGATTTTTTCTCGTAAGCTTTTCTCTCGTTTTATTTCAAAAGGGCATCGTAGTGATTCATTAAATTAACTTTAACGTGACTGTTTGATGTTACAAAACCTGTTAAATTGTTATCATGTGATGACCGGGACGAATTTCATTTATAGGTACGTTGTCTTACGTGAGAAATAACTCTCCCTCCTCCTCCTCCCGACAGTTTCATCTACTCGACTCTACCTGCCAGTAAGCAGATGATTGCCCTGAGCGCCACCTACCCGGACACCCTGGCTAGCCTGCTGGCGCGCTACATGAGGTCACCGACCTTCGTCAGGTCAGTAACCCGAGCCAGGCTACTTGCAGATCGCCACGAGCGGAGAAGGGTCACTGGACGCACAGACTCACTCGTATGAGTTATGCTGTATGTAGTGTATGGTTCCCGATTTTAAACCTCTTTCATATGTGCACTGCTCAATCGTAGGCACTTTTTGACGTTTCCAGTCACGGCGCTACCTTTTTTAGGACAGTGTTGTGTCCTAGTGTGACACAGTGTCTGTTTCTAGTCTGTTTGACACAGTGTCTAGTGTCTGTTTCGTATTTGCTCTGAGCGAAATCATGATAGGCTATGTTCTGAAAGAGCGCTGCCCCCTCCCCCCTCTCCAACAGACTGGGTAAGAGCTCTCCGGCCCTGCTGGGTATCCGTCAGTACGTGATGACGGTGCCGTGCGAGCCGCTCGTCACCAAACAGCTGAAGGTGAAGTTGGAGGCGCTGGTCAACATCCTCTCCACCGTCAGCTTCACCCAGTGTCTGGTCTTCTCCAACCACCAGACCAGGTGCGTGATGAACCATCACAAATGTGAGAAGTAAAGGAGCTGAGGGAAACACATCTTGACCTGGAGCAGTTAAGCTATATCTTAATGACCAAGCTGACAAGCTGAACTAGTTAATACAATAGGTTCAGGTGATCATCACACTACAGTGTTTCGTACCGTTATTTTTGCCAGATGAAAGTTTGACTATAAAGTAACGTGTCTTATTTTGGTTTTCAACTTTTCAATTCTTATTGAGTTGGACGAATTACATGCTTCTTATGTTAGTATTGCAAACCTGCTCGGAGACACAGCTCCACTAGCCCCTCTCATCTTCCGTCTCCTTAGGGCGATGTCCCAGCCTCCCCACTAACCCCTCCCGTCTCCCGTCTCCCCAGGGCGGAGACGCTGTGCTCTCAGCTCTCGTCGCGCGGCTGGCCCAGCGCCCACCTCTCTTCCTCTCTGAGTCAGGAGCGTCGACTGGAGGCCCTCTCCCAGCTGACAAGCCTGCGGTGCCGCGTGCTGGTCACCACTGACCTCGGCGCCAGGGGAGTGGACAGCGAGCACGCTGATCTGGTGGTGCAGCTGGATGTGCCGTGGGATGGTGCTACGTACCTTCATAGAGTTGGACGGGCCGGCAGGTCAGTGCTGTGGGGAATCATGGGTTGATGGGGGAGGAGGAGGGCTGAAGATAAGATTGGAGATATGTGTTGCAGAGGTAGGGTAAATGGGGATGACAGATTATGACTCAGTAATGGAAAGGATGTTTCATAACGAGATATTTTTGATTCACTGACCTTGCACTCTGATTCTCATCGTTTTAGCTAGCAAGGGCGCGTGTTTTTACCGATCAAGTAGAATGTGAAGCGTGACGTTAATCAAATGAGCTGTTAAACAACCAGGCTCTATAATTGCATGCCTACTTTGTGTTTTGATCCCTGTCGGTTCTTAATCTGCCTCGCTGGTCATCGATCATGTTTTCCCTAGTCTGCAGTGTGCAGGTACTGTAGCTCGGGATGCCCGTACGTTAGGCGGCACGGGCGGACATCGATAGCAGCGCCTCTATCGGTCACTAGGGAAAGCTGGGCTGTAGGCGACGAAATACCGGCTGAGTTGTCACACGTTGAATAGGTTTATAGCCATCCGTCTTGTGAAAAAGTTGAACTTTTGCCTTTAATATTTCTACAGGCAATTTTCGAAGTGTCTTCACATGGATTACAAAACCGTTTAGATTATTGTATTCACTTCAAGCCTTCCCTATTGTTCTTGATGATGCGGGAACTATTTCTAATTAGTGTTTCTAGCTTAGTAAAAGAACATACTGTGCAAACGATGAAAAAAACATAAATGGAAGATTTTAAATGCAATTTTCTCTAACAATTAATGGTAAATTCTCTACATATCAAGGAAAAGGTGCATGCGAACTGATAATTTAAAGTTCTTGGGGCCAGTTGTTTTCTTCTTTTCTTACGTCGCCCCAATGGCCGCGAATACACTTGTGATAACGCCCATCGAACAATAAAATCACTCTGCCACCCCCTCCGTCCCCGAAGCTGTCTTTCGATCACACAATTCACACTGACCCTCTTCGCTCCTCTCCTCAGGTACGGCAGCCTGGGCGCGGCCGTGGCACTGGTCTCGCTCGGTGAGGAGGAGCAGCGACTCACTACCGTGATAGCAGCGGCTGGCGTCAGCCCCCTGCGCCTGCCACAGAGCCTGCCGGACGACATCAAAACGTGCGACACCACAGGATGGTCGGCATACTCCGCGGCTAAGGACGGTGCCACCACAAATGGTCACTCGAGGGAGGGGAAGAGTGGGAGTGGGGACGGAGAGGGAGTGGCTGGGAAGAGTGGAGGAGTGAGGAGCAATGGCCACTCCCCATCGCCGGTGGCCCCAGCTGAGAATGGCGACACTATGGGTGTCAGTGAGGACACTGAAGGCAAAACAGGAGCCCCTGAGGGAAGGAAGATACTCGCAGCACGCCGTCGCCGCGCGCCCGGTCCGACAGCGGCCGAACAGCGCCAGGATAAAGCTCAGTTTGAGGCCGCTGCGGACGGCTGGGCGCGCGCTGTGGCCACGAGGGGACGGAGGCCAGCCGCCCCCGCCCCCGCCGCCGCCCCCGACGGCGATGGTAGCGGTGGTGGAGCGGCACCAATCCTTGATTGGGACCAACCTTCCACTAATGCCAAGGGCCGGAAAGGTGCAACCGAGCCGGTTGGGACTGGTGGTGATAGCAGTGACAGCGATGGCAGTCAGGACAGCTTCCAGGCGCTGCTAGCCGCGTACAAAAGGGATCAGGAACGGCAGGCCGCACAGGAGAGTGCGGGCGGAGAGGCGGTGGATACGACAGACGTCAAAAAGGAGAAACTTGTGAACGGTGATCAGAGGAAGAGCTCCAAAGGTAGCGGTGGGAAAACGCAAACGGATGACTCTGAGGCCAAGAATCGTAGTCCTCAGAAGGGACCAGCTTTAGAAACCACCACTCTATTGAATGAAAGACAGAGTGCTGTGAGTCAAAAGCCCAATCTGAAAACGGAGGATCAGATCTCAAGCGATGATGAAGATGCTGAAGCTGATACCGTGGATACAGATCAGCTACGGCAGGCTCTGAAGAAGCTGAACCCGAAGGAAGTCGGCTCACTGACTGAAGAGGACCTGCAGATGCTGGTAGCGTACCTGAAGACTCGCAGCGCGCCCGAAGGACGCGTGTATCGTCGGGCTGTGGCGCTGGTGAAAGAGAAGGGTGTTAGACAAACCCTTCTGCGGGCGGGAGATCTCTCAGAGGGCAGAGTCGACCTAAAAGAACTGATTGAGAGGCTGCGTGTTGCTCCTGTGGTGTCCTCAGGGATTTCTACTGCAGAGGGAGCCTGTGATGCTATTCCAACAGAGACGAGTGGCATGACGCCGAGCCACGAGCCAGGTTTGGTGAATGGACATGCGAGCAAGCCACCTGATGACATTGTCAGAAATGGTGATGATTCTGATAAGACTAAGTCAACAGTTTTGAAACCCAAAACTGATGCTAGTGTTTCCTCTGTGGGCGCCACTGCGTCAGTGAATGCGGGCGAGAGCCTCTCACCGGGCCCCAGAGTCGCAGGTGCTGCCACCTACAGCTCATCGACAGCAACTCGATTAGTCGTGAATTACGACGAGGAGGTCCGCCAGATCCCCAACCAGGAGGAAGACGTGGAGGCCTTCCAGCGTGACCTACGGATGGGTGCTGCTCGGAAGAAGGCGTTCCTGGCGTCTAGAGTGAAAGATGCCCAGCGGAAGTCGGTTCGCGGTCGGGCCTTCCCCGCAGGGAAAGACTCGTCCAGTGGAGAAGACAGTGAGTCTACTCGGGAGTCTACACGCGGTGAGATGGGAGGTCGGAGCGGCGGGCGGCAGCGGCAGGGAGCTGCTCCTCCACATCGGCCGAACTATCGACAGTCTGGTAAGCACTTAGAGTCTGAAACCGCCGACTACCCTCCTGCCTCTGAAGCACAGTTCTACAGCGAACCTCACGCTAACGAAGGCCCAGATACAACACATGACAACCCGTCTGAGTTCTGGAATGAGCATGGCATACCATCACATGACCAGTATCCCTACTACCCAGGCAGCTACAACATGCCTTACCAGTCATCTTACCCCACCGATTGGCCCAACTACCCCAGTGCTATGTATCCTAACTACCCCACTGCATACGGTACTACCCCCAGCGGGTATCCTCCGTCCCAGGGAGGCAACTGGGGTCCCTACGGCGGCTCTACGCTCCCTCCCCACTCGTGGGACGAGCTGCTGAACGTGTGTTACGACCAGCAGACCCGCTACCTGTCGCACATGACCAGCTACTACACGCAGTATTATGGACTCTCACAGTCGTAGACAAGGTGTGATATCCATAAAACACTCAGTGATGTCGTTTGTGATAACGGTTGCTCTGTGATGATGCCAAGACGTGTTGCGGGTGATTCATTCATACTAGCGATTAGTGTGGGGTTCAATCATGATTCCGAAAATACATTCATTTTGCAATGATTGGCAAGTTATGTTATTGTGCTGAAGTGAGCGACATATTGATAATTTTTGTAACAATCTGACGATGCGGGCAGTTTTTCTTTCTTGCACGCTGAATGATGCTGTTCAGATAGTCTCTGGTCGGCTAAGCCAAATTAGGGAAAAAAATGTGCCGTCAGCTGGCGAAGGGGGATTAATTAAGTTTTGATACCGTTGTTCGATTACGCCATTTCCATGGATAGCTGTGACTTTGACTATGGTTAACACCAAACGGGACCGTGAGAAAAGCATCACTACTCGTATGTCATCTAGGCACTATGATAAAATAACGGAAATCCGTATGTCACCAAATCGTATTTAACTGGTCTGTCCAGTCGTCACCGATCCATCACTAATAACGAAACATCGTGAGTGCGCCGTCATCAAGCTCCCTGGAACTCAGACTCATAATTCCATTGTGTGGTATCTTTTCTTTTGTCGCGTTGTCGCCTCTGAGGCTGCCGTTGTCTCTCGTGGCCAGGGCTTTGGGCTGGCCGAGCTGCAACAGTTAAGTAGGTTACACACGGTCTCAGCGATGGAAAAGCTCAGGCGGAGCGTGTACTGTCTCTGACACACCACCGGGGTCACGGCAGAGCAACAAACTGCAAAATATGAGCGGTTTTCCGCCGGAAATCAGACTTCCGTCGACGGTGCGGTGATGGGTCGCTAGTTGTTTGACGGAATCTCATCATCCGTTGCGCTGCCGCCGTCTATAAAATCCGTGGGGGTCTGACACGCCTGCCTTCCGGCGAGCGTATACCCATGTTCGCTGTCAGAGGCTGTAGGGGATTTCTGGAGGCATTTGGTTGGACACGGGTAAACCTTTTAGGCTGTTATGTTGAACAAAGTCTTGGCCTGTTCCATCCCTTATGGCGTCTGCAAGAATGATGAGTGATGCCGAGCACACGGCTCGGAAGCCTGGGGCTTTTACGGAACACGGCGACGGAGCGTTAGCGAGCGCTGCAGCGCAGGCATCCAACCGAGAAAAAAGACTGAACCAAGACTGAACTAGGAAACTGAGGACTTTTACTGGCAGCGCTGATAGCGATATAAAAATAGAAACACGAACGGTCCGGGCGTAATGATGTTTTATATCTGACAGCGATATTAGACTGTCACACATGTCAGGTATTTAAAGATTTTCCTATTAATCATGCAGACGTGCACTTATCGAGTTAGTGGTCTGACATGTGAATAAATGTAGCTTGGGGGTAATTAAGTCCTGCGGGAGTCTCTAGAATAAACCGCATAGTACGTTTTCCGAATAGGTAAGTTGATCGATGAGTTTCACACATTATCTAACGAGCATGAGCCCGTTAACAGACAGCCTGACTGTTGTGCCGACTTGTGAGAAAGGCCAGTACGAGCTTAGCTCGTTTTGTATTACGTCCTACTTTATAAGACTCGGAGAGACTATGCTTTATAAGACTGTATGCAGCTACAACGCGGAAAAAAAAACATTTTAGTGATAAATTCAATTGTGATCGCACTTCGGAATGGATCGCTGCCTACGTTGATGTGAGTGCTGCATTCGCATTGCTGTCTTTGTGCATCCTGTGCAGTTCGGTAGCAAGCATGGTTTTGCTTAGGTATTGCTTACACTTCTCCAAACCTTTTTCGGAGCATGGAATTATAACATCATTAATAGGGATTTTTTTTTTTTTGTTCGGCATCTGTGCTCTCCATACACATGTTCAAACTCCAAGTGTGTTTGCTTCAGGGCTTTGTTTCATCTACAACAGTTGGTCATCATTAGGAATATAGGATGCAGCCATGGACCATTGTTCTTCGCGGCATTCAGGTTCCGTTTGACCACCGATAGGTGCCGTCTATTGTCCGCACCAGGTTTCCTCTTATTCAAAAATAGATTTATTCTGTTTATACCAGAAAATATTGTTTGCTTCACAATTGGCAGCTCTATCTATACGAGTACCAGGAAGGTACGGTTCTCCAGTAAAAGTCTTGTTGGTTTTGCTTTTTCGGACATATCTGGGCCTATACAATGTTCAAATGCATGAATCTCAACCCGAATTATGTGTATGCACATTTACCACGAGACTGTGAAATTGCATCGTTGTATGCCAAACACTTTCCGAGATATTCACCAAAAACCTCATTTTCTGCCGTTTGGGGTATTCTGGCCGCAATCTTCCTGGGATCGCCTATGACATCAGTAGAGCCATCTAACGACAGGAACGCGGAAACACAGAATCATGAATGAATCGAGCGCGTAGTAAACGGTGTATGAAAGGGAGACTCGGCAGAGGCTATCCGGGTGGCCGGCGCGCGGCGCGCCCTTAGGCATCGGCCGACCCTTCGGACCGCGTGGGTTCAGAGGTCGCGCTCGGGAAGTCTCGGCTCTGGGTTTTAGCGCTGTGCAGTCAGGGAGGATAGGATAGCGCTAGCCCGACTGACTAGTATCTCGGCTGATTCGTGTGGGGTGGAAGGGAGCACAGAACGGGATGGTGGCTAGTGGTGGATGATGGGATGGTGGTTAGGTTAGTGCGTACTGCGTAAAACGTAGCTGAACATGCATTGTTTTTTTTTCATGGCAAACAACATGCAGCATAATAGGCGGGATTATGCCAGAACTCATACAAAAAGGAAATAATATTTCGGCCGAGGGGGTGGATGAGTAATGTGACAAAGCATGACGATGCTGCCAAAATCGGGATGCTTTTTGTCCTTTTTTACCCCTAACATGCAGCGATTGATCCGAACTTAGAGGTCCCCGACTGACCTTAGACCTTAAAACCGCACCCGTCCGGTGCGCACCCTTTCTTCAGGGGCGCTCTTCTTGGTTGTATCTGTTCTTACCAATAACTAAAGCAAATCGAATGTATAGTAAAAAAGGCATACCTTAAACACAGTTTTATTCACACCCGCTCGTGTCCATACTCGTTTTGACCTATACCTTCTCGCATCATAATATATCACTTCAGTGCTTAACCCTCAACGGAATTTTAGGTTTTCTGCATATACCCCGGCCGATGGGGGGGGGGGCAATTACGACCCCTCTCCGTCTTTTTGCCCTAATTGAGCTAGCGCCTTGCGGATAAAACTGAGCGCGTGCGTCGTATGAGATGCAGCAACTGGTACCCGAGTTGAATTCTCAGGTCAACCGATAAACTCTGAGGTCAGTATAAGTGCTCCAAATCGCGGGATCGGTTTTTGGTAAACAACCACCATAAGTGGTTACAGAGCCAGTGGCGCAGCCAGGATTTCATTTCGGGGGGGTCATCGCCTCCAAAGCGGGCCCCCTGGTGTGCGGGCCCCCTACCCATTTTTCAGAATCTCTCCATATTTCATACACATTCTGCTGAGCGGGCCCCCTTTACCTGCACGATAACCCTGAGCGAGTTTGAATAAGAACATTTGGATAGAACAATAGCTCGGTAATCACTCGGTGTTCAATTTTTACGCAAATTGACCACGACAGAAATATGTTACTATGACCACGGAATATATAGTCTACGACATAGACTATATATAGTCTATGTCGGAATATATAGTCTCGTAGCCTATATATTCCGTGCTATGACGTATGAATTCGTATCTTTCGGGGCCGAAATGTGCCCCTTCCGCAATATGCATAGCATATATGCAATCAGAACTGTTGCCTGCTTCTGTCGGACAATATTTAACTAGTCCCATGTGCCTGTTCTAAGCCATCTATTGGCTGCTGTAGAAGATTGTGCCTTTATTCTTCTTCATTACGTGAATTCGCTCACAAGAAGTTTTAACCCTCGCGGCACAGGGGGAAGGGTTTGATGCAACCCCCTAAAGTTTTTTTTTTCGCAAATAACTCGCGTAGAAAGCGAATGATCGCGACGTAACTTTCAGTACCCTCGCGTTGATCAATTTTACACCTATCTTAGAAATTTCATGACCCTGACCCAAATGACCTAAAGGTCAATTCAAGGTCAAATTCCGACCTAAAGGTCGGAAAGTAGGCCAAAGCTGGCCTACTTTCCGAGACCATGTTTGGCCAGAATCGTGGTTCGGCGTACATGTGATTTCATTCATGTGACGTTCAAACATGTGATTTGATATGTTGCTCCCATGCATAAGGGTGGATGTCAATGTCACCTGAAGCCTGAAGGTCAGGTCAGGTCATTGACCTATGAGGACCTCAGTACACTTTTTTCAAGCTATGCATGTTCCTAGGCTAGTTTTTGTTTAGCTGAATTCGAATTTAGCAACCATTGGAAAATTTAACCCGCGATCTGGTGGGGGGGGCTATTTTTTGCCCCCCCTCCAGACTTTTCGATATATCTCCAGAACCGCTGCGCCGATCGTCACCAAACTTTCAGTACCCTCCCGGACATCAATTTTACACATGGTGACCAAACATTTTTCCAAAGGCTATGATAGGTTGGCCGGAAATGACGTCAGAGTGACGTCATGTTCTGCCGTTTTCGACCCAAAAAAGGGTTTCGCGGGAAGAGCTGTCAGGCCTATAGCTTTGCAAATACAGAAAAATGATAAGGACATAAAAACTGTAGAATGGACAGGGCTACAAAACTGCTATCTCGGATGTTTGAAATTTTTGGATTTTGACCCCCAAAAATCAAAAAATATTTTTTTTTGATATAATGATCGAAAAATCCAAAAAGTTTTTTGAGTTTCGCAAAAACCGGAATATATGTGATAGTCCTCGCCGACTTCCATCTGCACATACCAAATTTGAGATTGATACCTCTTTTTTTAGCGAAGTTATAGTGAAAAAAACTGTTCAAAATTGATGACGTCAAATTTTCAAACTCAATTTTTAGCAATTCTAGACCCCGTAACGCAAAGCAAAGACCACCATTAGACTCCCCGTGACGAGATGCATGGAATCAATGCCCATTTTATGCAAAACTATCAACTTTAAAATTTGACCTTTTTGGCCTGACCTTGACCTGACCTTGACCTTAACTTCACCAGAAAGTGACCTAAGCCGTACCTGATAGTCTTATAACCAACACCATTGAGTTGGA